GAGGATAGAATAAAGAGACTGATATAGATTACGATTTTGATTTATATAAATTATTATATAGATCAAAATCGCAATCTATATCATATTATTCAGAGCACAATCATTAATCTAAATTGATTAATCGCCTACAAATAGAATAATAAATATCGCGCTTACTCATAGCATGTAAAACACTTTTATTGGGTTACATTTACATTACGATAATTACATTCCGTTCGAGTATGAGCTCTCTTCTACAAATGTAATGTAAACGTATATGCGTGATGATGTAAGAGAGAACGGAAACAATCGCGAGATAGTGAGCATAGCCAGGTAGGCAACAAAAATCTCTGGTCACTAGAGGAAGACTGCGTTCCTTATCGCTAACGTTGCATGTCGAGCATTAAATTATGTAATGTCGCTGCTGGTAAACAGTGATTACAACCATATACATGCCGATAGAATACTAAAATTTTTTTATATGTGTATTTTTTATGTGTTTTTGTATTTGTTTCTAAGAAAAAAAAGAGAGTTTTAAAAGTTGAGAAATTTTTAAAATTGTTCTCTTATTATATTAAACATGCTATATTTATGTAATTATCGATTTAAGTAAATCATCCAAACGCTTCTCGAAATCATATTTTTCTTATATAAATAAGTAAAAAAAATTTAATTTACGTATATGTATGTATGCGCTCTCACGAAATGAGTGTACAAGATGCAAATTAAATTAATCGCTCTTTATTTCAATGCTAAGAAACGCAAAAAAGCTTTGCAAGAGTATTGTAGCTAGTAAAATTTATTTTTACAATAATGTCAAATTAATTGAAATTGCAATTTACTCAATTGTAGCAATTTTCCATTTCGAAAGAATTTATTTATTGTTATTTGTACATAACTGCATTATAAAAATAGTTCACGAAAAATACATATTTCTAATGCACTCAGACATCACTCACATCCACACATAATTTGCAAAAATGTTCTATTATACAGAGTATCCCGGACCGGTCGAATATTTCATAAATTATGCACTTTAGAAAGAAATGTTTCAGACAAAAGTTATATGGCTTGAAGGGGATCATCAGATAGTGGCAATGATTTGACCTTGGAGAGTCATTTGAAGGTGACATAAAGGTCACCTTCAATTTCTTAAATGAAACTCCCTATTTTTTATTACATATTCGTGTAGCTTATCTCGAGAGCTTTCCAAAACACTATAATAAGGTATTTCTTCATTGAGTACTTTTCGAGTTATGAGGCTTGAAATAATTTCTTAATTTTGCATAAACCATAAAATATCTAGTAAAATATTTATTTTTCGATTATCTTACCCTAATACTTTTATGTACAAAATAATGAGAGGAATCAATTGGTGTAAAGAAAACACATAGTTGTTTTAAAAAAAAATATGTAATTGTTAATTGCAAATTACATATTTTTTTTTTAAACAACTATGTGTTTTCTTTACACCAATTGATTCCTCTCATTATTTTGTACATAAAAGTATTGAGGTAAGATAATCGAAAAATGAATATTTTACAAGATATTTTACGGTTTATGTAAAATTAAGAAATGATTTCAAGCCTCATAATTCGGAAAGTGCTTAATGAAAACTAACTTAATTATAGTGTTTTGAAAAGCTCTCGACGTAAGCTACACGAATATTTAATAAAAAATAGGAAATTCCATTTAAGAAATTGACGGTGATCTTCACGTGACTTTAAAATGACTCTCCCATGTCAAATCATTGCCACTATCTGATGGCTCCCTTCAAGCCATACAACTTTTGTTTGAAACATTTCTTTCTAAAGTGCATAGTTTATGAAATATTCGACCGGTCCGGGACTTTTGGGACACTCTGTATATCACATAAAGAGAGAGAGTGAACGTATAAAGCAAATGTACATTATTATTTATAATTAGACATGGAACTTTTATTACACAATGATTTAACTTTTAATTGGTTATGTATTTTAATTCAATCCATATGAGATGTAAGGATATGTAATATCATATTACGTATACGTACATGTATCACTAAGTTTACAAACATACTTTTTATACAAAAGATGGATATGATTCACGAATCGATAAAACATGTATGTATAGATTGCACGTTTATAAAAATGCAAATGTATGCTCGGCTGTTTTATCGCTTCATCGATTAACGTATCTTTTTTTTTTTCATTTCAACAGAATTATACCGAGTATGTTCGATTGACTTTCAGAATCGCTACACTCCATCGCAGACATTGATTACGCGCGTAAAATACGCGTCGTTATGAATTCTCGGTACGATTACATGCTTTCGTAATTCGCTTTTTACAGTTTATTTTTAACTATTTCCGTTACTACATAGAAGACACGTTGAAAAAAAAGGATAATAAATACACACAATCTTTCACAAGGATACGTTAAATTGTCCTTTCTCTCTCGTACATGAGGACTTTATATCTCTCGCAAAGATGCGCTAAATTGTTTTAGATGCTTATTTTAGAGGAGAAACTTTTACATTTTTTTTTTATTGTGAATTTTTCTTTTATTTTCGACACAGTCGATTATGATGTAAACGAAAACTGTCATATGTAACACGTACGAATGTAATACCATCTAATCGGATACATTATAATTAACAGAAATAGTGCAAGTCATTATTACGAATCAGATTTACGTTTACAAAATGTGAATTCGCACTGTATACACTATATACACACGAGAGTACAACGATAGACGTTGTAATTGTTTGCACAACAATAATTACAGGTTCGTCGGTAAATCCCCTTTGCATAGATTATATATGAATATTGATACCGCATATTTTCCTTGTAAATTGCTCTCACTTTGAGAATTCTTTCTTTTTCTGTTACAAATGATATTTATTCTGCTACATTCAGAGATCTAAAATTTATGAAAATCAATAGTTTTTATTTTCAAAGTTTTTTTGAACATAATGTCAAGAAACACCACATGCAATAATTAAAAATAATTAAAAGTATGAGATAGATATATAATTGAATAGAAAAATATATGATATAAAGATGGAAGAGTAATATATGATATAAAGTAATATATGATATTAAGATGAAGAGTAATATAACTGAGAACGTTACAATAAATTATTCTATAAAGATTTTTATTTTAGATTTTAATAAGAAAAATCTTTCTTCAATGTATTATATTACGCAATATATAATATTTGTATAAATAATTGGCTTCAAGTTATTGTTTGTAAAAACTATACGACACAATGTTTCTTAAAATATCCGAACTATATGATTCCGACAATATAATTCTAAACATTCTTATAATTTTCAAAACATACATAATTACAATCATAATTATTCATTAGTTACCAACTGAGTAGAATTACTTAGAGTGAAAACAAGTTAATATATACAAGATTAATTAAATTATTAATTAAGTTTTAAATTTATATACATATATATGTATACTATGTATTTTTCTTGTTTATACCTTTTTTTATGAGGGATATAAAACTAAGAATCTCGAATTGAGATTTATATCTTTACTTGGATATAAAACCAAGAAAACTTCACACTTTATGCACACTAACAAGTTTCATAGAAAGATTAATTTTAAATTTTCTGTGAAATTGACACATGATCATTTTTTGTATTTGTCTCTTACTAACCCAAAATATTTGAATTTAAATATATATATATATATATATATATATATATATATATTTCTTCTAAAAATCTATTTCAAATATCATAGGTTAGTAAAAGATCCAGACACAGATAATCGTGCATCAATTTCACAGAAAATTAATTTTTCTATAAAACTGATTAATGTGCACAAAGCATGAATTTTTCTTGATCCTATATCCAAATATATAAATCTTAACTCGAGATATATATGTATATATATATACTTCAATTATTAATTTAGATAGTAATTGTCATATGTACAACTACAAAAATCCTAGCAAGCACACATTATTTTGACGTCAAATGACGTACATTTGCTTATGGAATATGTATAATAATGTAATAAGTATGTATAAAATTTATTTAAAATGTATACGTGCATACATACATTAAAAATGTATATATGCATAAATATATAATTAAGTTATTAGCTTCGAGCTTATTGTTAATACATTCATCAACTGTTTTCATCAATATTGTAATCAGTGTTTGCTGGTAGCTGGGTCTAGATAAAATGATATAGATAATCATCTAGATAAAGAAATGGATCATCTTTATCTTTAACTAAATGAAAAAATACAAAGTATCTTTATCTTTATCTTAGATAAAAAATATATGTCATCTTATTTAAAAATTGTCTAAGACGACGTTTTTATTATGCAAAAAAGTTTCCCAGGCAAGCTTCTAAAAATCTATTTCAAATATCTAAAATATATTTTTATATTATTATTATTAATATATTATAAATATATTATTATTATATTATTAATATATTATAAATATATTATTATTATATTATTAATATATTATAAATATATTATAAATATATTATAAATATAAATTAATAAATAAATATTTATCATATCATTTATATATCTTTTTGCTATTATAATATTTAAATATTCTTTAGGAAAAGAGAAAGAATATGTTTATGATTTTAATATCCCATTTATAATCTGCGTCACATTTTTTACAAATATTTATAGTCTTCTAAAATAAACAAAAATATCTAGGTAATTATCTAGATTATCGCAATAATTATCTCATCTTTCATCCAGATTAAGTAAAAGCAAAATCATTTTTATCTCATCTAAGATAAATTTACGGATTTTTATCTTTATCATTATTTAGATAATTTTGAAATTTTCTACAGCAAACACTGATCGTAATCGAATAATCCATTCGTGATTAAGATGCTCGTGTCCGAGCTGGGGAAAAACCTGATCAAAACAGAGAAGAAGAATGAGATCAGCGGATGGGATTGCCTCCTCCCGATTCTCGATATTATGTCACAAACATGTAGCCCATGGCGGGGCACCGGAGTCGATCGCGCAACATGCGCCCGACACTGCATACCGCAAAAGAGTAAATTCGCGACTGTCAGATCGCAGGACATGAGGTGAGCGAGCGTACGCACCTCCACGTTTCCGCGCTGGCGAGAGAGTCGGTGGACGCGCGGTCGCAAACAACCACCCGCACCCGTACTTCCTCCGCTTTTTCGGCATATTTGCACGACAGTCGCGCGCGAGAAAGCGTCTCGGTAGCAAGCAGCTGATCGCTCGCCGAGAAGAAGAGAACGCGACTCGCGAGGAGCGAACGGTAAAACGCGCGCGTCATCGCTTCCGGACTTGGCGCGCATGTCGAAATGACGATGAATGTGAAAAGTAGAATTCAATCTCACCTGTAATATTACGACGACAGTTAGAGGTGAGTATTAATACGATTAATTCGCGAGATAAATGTAGGGCGACAAGTTTAAACTCTCGTGAATACATAATACCGGAAAAGGTGCGTTAATTCTCGCATTATGTGTTATATTAGAGCAAATATATAAATAAAAGAAGTAGTTAAAATCGATCAACACTGGCAATATTTATTGAGGTAAAAAATCACAATACTTCAATAAATATTGCCAGTGTTGATCGATTTTAACTACTTCTTTTATTTATTTACTGGCGATCTTCAAGAAAATTTAAATTCAAATATATAAATGTTTAATTAAATGTTTAATTAAAAAATTTAAATGTTTAATTTAAATGTTTTAATAAATTTTTTATTCTGACAAATTTAATTTAAAAAGTAATATAAAATAAAGATCATTTTTAGCTTAATGCACGAAGCGATCATGAAGAAGCAGACAGTCGAGGATACTTAAATGTTTCGTTTGATAGCTTTTTTGTACTAATATTAAGTCTCGCACTAAACTCGAATTAACATATGGAATGGAAATGCTCAAACATATTTCGAATTTAAATGACACACTTTACTTTTGCGCTTGTTTGCGAAAAGAGCAAAGCGAAAACGTTTGCGCGTCATTACGCATACTTATATAGAGGAATACTGATTAGTCACGATAAATTCTGAAATTGCAGCAGAGAAAGCATCATCCGCCTTTATGTAGGATTATAGGCCTTTTAATAAACTTTCGCACATAGATTTACTTTATTTACGCAGCAACTGTGGAGATCTGAAACAGGTTTTGCGCTAATTCATCGTGATATTTTGCATACGTTAAAGAACGAGATCACGTATTCTTAATTTAGATACACACATAAATATACAAGAGATATATATATCTTTCATCAATTAATATCTTTTGTAATAACAGATTTTTTTTAGGGAAAGGCTGGTATATCAAGTATTTTTTTATATAATAAACGAATAATAAAAATTCTTAAATTAAAAAATATATGCAAATAAAAAATTGTATAAAATAAACTTTATGAATTTTTTGTTCCCCTATTAGTTTGTTTATATAAATTAAATTTTTATATTCTTGAGATTTGAATTTCTTTTTTAATTATTTTTTTAAACAATTATTTGAAATATGCGGAGAAAATCTATTTCGTATTTAATCACTGTTATATTTAATTTTTTACTCCCATGGCGCACATTCTCTTCTCAAAGAATATAAAATTAAAATTAAACAATTTCGTAAACGTCGTGTTAGTCGATATCGACTTCGTTTATAAACGGAAACCTTGACCAAAGCGATGTTTTTTTCAGTTACGGTGTCTGACGATATTGGAGGTAAAAACCGCTATATGATAGACCTCCGATACACTTCCTCATACTACAATCGCAAAATTTGCATGTGATATTAATTTCATATCCTCTAGTCATATTTCTTCAAAAACACAAAATTTAAACATTCTAATGGAAAAAATATAGGATCATCAGAAGACAATATCAATTTTAATTTGCGAAACACTTAAAATTTTTTAATTTCTTATTTTTTCAAGACATTCTTTAATTATTTTACGAGATATTTTATAGATATATTTGTATTGTTTTACTTATATTTATACGATATCGACATATGGCGACATATCATGATATGAGAATTGTTTTAATCACGTGAAATGGTTAATTGTAGATTTGCAATTTTTGTTTCCATAAATCGATAATGTTATATGACTATAAATAAAATTCTTCTTAGGAAGTTTTGATTAAAAGATAAATTTCAAATTATTTAATAAGAATTATTTAATCGTGTTAGTTTTCAAACATTTCAAAAAAATTGCTTATCTTATAAATGTGAGTTAAACATTAATGATATTTTAACATTATGAATAACGTGGGGAAACGGCATTCCGAGCTCGAAATTACAGTTGTCTACTTACCACAAAAAGATTCAAGGATTCCCAGGTGAACTATTCATTTCCTCAGTTAACGCGAGGCGGCATGATTCATTGACGATCCATTTAAAAACGTGGACAGCTATTCGCCGCGGCATTCTTTTATCACGTGCAAAATGCTTGAACGATGAATCGCAATTAATTGCGCGATAAGAGCAGCTTAATAGCAAAAACTTCCGTTTTTTCTTCTCTATATATGATGAATTTTTCGCGTTGAGAAATTTATTAGAGAAACGTGATAATTCTTCACTCTTAGATAGAATACTTTAGTTATGAAGAAATTATACATATTTAAGTTAAATAAATTAAAACATGACTTTGAACGAATAACATAGAATTAGTATAACATAGAATTTAGTTTTTGAGTATATTTAAATTAAAATGCATTTGAAAAAGCAAGCATTATTATTAACAATTAGAATGTATAATTGTGTATATATTTATTACTTTCACAAATTATATATACAGAACGTGACAAAAATTAATACTTAATTATTAATAATTAAAAATTAATTAAATGTTAATAATTAAAAATTAATTAATTGAAACGAAAAAAAAGATATCTGATGACCTAAATTTTATAATCGAGCGATAACATATGATAATATCTTAAGATTCATTGTAATGAAATATCAAAAATTTCTTGCTGATTCATATATTTAATATATACACTCTTTGAGATAGCGAAAAATATTTGAATATTTTTTTTATAATTTTAAATAATATCTCGCGAAATAGTTTCACATTTCATTGTTATTAACAATCAGAATGTGTAATTGTGTATATATTTATTACTTTCACAAATTATATATACAGAACGTGAAAAAAATTAATACTTAATTATTAATAATTGAAAATTAATTAAATGTTATTAATTAAAAATTAATTAATTGAAACGAAAAAAAAGATATCTGATGATCTAAATTTTATAATCGAGCGATAACATATGATAATATCTTAAGATTCATTGTAATGAAATATCAAAAATTTCTTGCTGATTCATATATTTAATATATACACTTTTTGAGATAGCGAAAAATATTTGAATATTTTTTTTATAATTTTAAATAATATCTCGCAAAATAGTTTCACATTTCATTGTTATTAACAATCAGAATGTGTGATTGTGTATATATTTATTACTTTCACAAATTATATATACAGAACGTGAAAAAAATTAATACTTAATTATTAATAATTGAAAATTAATTAAATGTTAATAATTAAAAATTAATTAATTGAAACGAAAAAAAAGATATCTGATGATCTAAATTTTATAATCGAGAGATAACATATGATAATATCTTAAGATTCATTGTAATGAAATATCAAAAATTTCTTGCTGATTCATATATTTAATATATACACTTTTTGAGATAGCGAAAAATATTTGAATATTTTTTTTATAATTTTAAATAATATCTCGCGAAATAGTTTCACATTTCATTGTTATTAACAATCAGAATGTGTGATTGTGTATATATTTATTACTTTAACAAATTATATATATAGAACAGAAATATTAATTGAAACATAAAAAAAGATATCTAATGACCTAAATTTTATAATCGAGCAATAATATATGATAATATCTTAAGTTTCATTGTAATAAAATATCAAAAATTTTTTATTGATTCATATATTTAATATATACACTCTTTGAGATAAAAACGAGATAAAAATATTTGAATATTCTTTTTATAATTTTAAATAATATCTCGTGAAATAGTTTTATATTGTTGGCGAAAGTCTTGTAAAATCAAGAAATTTGATAGTTGAGGTGAAATTCATGATGAGACAGAAAAAGAAATTAAATACTAACGAAATATTACGAAAATTGTATTTAAATATACTTCATGATCCTAAAAAGACAATTGTTTTGAGTGATGCCATGTGAGAAAATACAATATTTATCAAATATTTATGCACGTAAAACAAGAGAAACAAGCGGAAGCATAAGAATAATTGATACAAGGAAAAACTTGAATAATGTTGTAATTATTCGAAATCAAAACATCAAACATGTAATTTGATGCAAATACATCGAATCTAAATTTAATACAGTCAGGGGGACTTTATTTTTTATATTTATTTTTAATAATTTCGCAAAATTATATGAATATGAATAAAACATTGTAAATATATAAACGTATACTTATTACAAAATTATACGTTTTTATTATCCAAGTTATTTTTAAAAAATGCCGTTGTTATAATCACATATTCATCACATACTCATTATAATCACATACTCATTATAAAACGAGTATACCTTAAACATATAAACTTGGCATCAAAAACCAGATTTTTTAATGACAATTAAAAAATTTTATTCTATGGAATGCGAAGGATATTTCCCTCAATTTAATAATTTAATTCAATCACAAAATTTTCTCGAATCGTTTGATGTGTTATATTGTGTAAATGTTAAAACCTTTAGAAAATGAACAAAAAAATCATTGAATTATTTGTATCAAATTATAACAGCCAATTGTAATGTGCTCGATATCGTCTTACATAAGTCGTATTGTCTGAGGCCAGTAGATAGACAGTAATGAGAACGATGCTTATTCCATACGAGGAAGGCAAAAGAGTATTTTTCAATATGAAATTAATTACGTAAACATCTTACTAAGACCTGTACAGATACATATTTCTGACGTAATGGTGCACGCATTATTATATTCAAAATTCCGAGAAATATTGCTTTTCTCGTATGCTACACTTCAGGATAATATTAGATTCAACATATAATTCGAATAATTTTGTGCTCGTCTTTTCACATTGACTTGTTATTCATCGTATCATCATCAAACAGCGGTTTCCGGTATCGTCACGCTTCCGCCTTCTAACGAGCTCGATGTTCAAATAAACGGCAAGTCATGAAATAGTTCGATCGATTTGACGTGATAACTTTTATTTGTCATTTTATACAAATATCGATCAAAAGTTATCTTAGAATATTGTTTTCTAATTGTATATCATATCAGAATAAGATGCAATCTCTCTTATCTTGAACATATAATTTCATTCTGCGTATATATTTTAATCAAAATCAAATAGATAATACATGCAGATCAATGTTTTGATGCTAATTAAATTTAATTATATACATAATTATTTAAGGAACTTTAAATGATAATTATTTTACGTATTTTCTAAATGTTTTCTTTAACAAATTGTATAATTCATTAAAAAGAACATTATTGAGAAAACGAATTGTTTAATTCGCGCCGCAAGTACTTGCCATTAGGACGAAATCCGTTCTTTTACAAGTGTTTTGCGAAGCTGATTGCAAAATTCCGTCAATTATATCTTTTACTATTGCCAATACATTTTTACTATCCATTTGAGAAATCTATGTTTGCACAGACAATTGTAAGCGTAATAATATTTATACTGATGCATATTTATCTGTTTTTGAAAAAAAACACGATGCAAAAATTTTTAGATTGCTATTCCATTTTTTGTGCAAAAATAAAAAAGATTTTCAACAAGAAATAATCTACCAAAATATTCTTTTATTTAATTATGTTTTTAAAAGAAACGATTAGTTATATAAATTTATAAGATTATATTTATTACCAAAATCATTATATTATATCAAAACATAATAACACAAAATATATTTAATTATATATATATATATATATATATATATATATATATATTCAAATATAGAAAAAAATTATATAATTGTGCGTTATATAATTATATCTGAAATTGTCGGTTCTTGATAAATTTTGCGTTTCAAAATAGTAAGGAAATCCTGTGTTTAAGTATAATATAATCATATAATAACAATCTAAATGACAATTGTTTGAGTGAATATGCCTTGAGAAAAAAAACATCTAAAGTATTATTAAATCAAAAAGTCGAAATCACAAGAATTATGCGAGTGTGGGAAAAATGGAATATAAATAAAATCTCACTAAAAAATACTTCACAAAAATAAAAAAAAATTCGCCAAATACATAAAAAAAAAAATGTCTTTAAAGAATCTAATAATTTTAAAAAATGATAAATTTTAAGAAATGAGAAATTTAAAAACTGATATGAGATCAATATACAAATACAATAAATACAAAGATACAATAAATTATGTGCTATTAATTTGTAATCGATTTTAAATAAATTAAAATTGCTTTAATTCCCAAAACACTTTTTATATAATGTATATAATTTAAAAAAAGGTTTACGCAAATTCTAAATTGCATGAAGGTCTTCAGATCGAAATAAGATATGAAAATTTGCGTACCTGTCGTTTATAACTAGAATATAATGTGAAATTTAGACAATATATCTATATAAAAGAATCTATATCTATATAAAAGAATGAGTTTAATTTTTTCAGATTGATAACTTATAATAAATTGTCACTTTTGCTTTTGTTACTTATGTTTTTCTTATAAAACTTTATAAAATATTATACATTATAAATATGTATATATATGTATATATATATATATATATATATATATATATATATATATACAGGGTGGGGCATTTATCTGGAGACAAGATAATATCTCGATTGGAGTCGATTATTTTGAAAAAAGTTTTAGACAAAAGTTGTATGGTTTCAAGGGGGACATAAAATGGTGTCATTAGTTTGATCTTGAAGAGCCATCTGAAGGACACGCGAAGGTCAGCTCCAACTTTTTAAATGGGACACCCTATATGCTTTTGCATATTCTTGTAGCTCATCTCAAGAGCTTTCCAAAACACTATAATTAAGTTAGTTTTCATTAAGTACTTTCCAAGTTATGAGACTTGAAATCATTTTTTAATTTTACATAAACCGTAAAATATCTTGTAAAATATTCATTTTTCGATTATTTTACCTTAATACTTTTATGTACAAAATAATGAGAAAAATCAATTGGTGTAAAGAAAACTCATAGTTGTTTCGAAAAAAAAAATGTAATTTGCAATTAACAATTACATATTTTTTCTTAAAAATAACTATGTCTTTTCTTTACACCAATTGATTCCTCTCATTATTTTGTACATAAAAGTATTAAGGTAAAATAATCGAAAAATGAATATTTTACAAGATATTTTACGGTTTATGTAAAATTAAAAAATGATTTCAAGCCTCATAACTTGGAAAGTACTTAATGAAAACTAACTTAATTATAGTGTTTTGGAAAGCTCTTGAGATGAGCTACAAGAATATGTAAAAGCATATAGGGTGTCCCATTTAAAAAGTTGGAGCTGACCTTCGCGTGTCCTTCAGGTGGCTCTTCAAGATCAAACTAATAACACCATCTTATGTCCCCCTTGAAACCATACAACTTTTGTCTAAAACTTTTTTCAAAATAATCGACTCCAATCGAGATATTATCTTGTCTCAAGATAAATGCCCCACCCTGTATATGTATATTGTGTGTGTATTAATATTTTCATTATTTAATAAATACACTTTTTATATTATAAAATATAAACTTTATGCTATACGATTTGAATAAGGGGCATTAACTGCACCAATTTTATTGAAACTGTTTAAATCGATAGTTTGTATCTACATTGTATTAGAAACATGTTGTTAAATTTTTGATTACCGTTTTAATTCTTGAGGTATTTTAATCAAAAGTTTATATGACGTAAAATTCCGGATAAATTATTTGATAGTGCTTCGACATATCGAAAATAGTGGCTCTCAATAGTCGGATCCAGTTCTTTTATGTTACTTGATGTCGCGACGCTACCGCGTCACTTGATAAAAGCGACAAGCAAAAAAACAATGTCCATCAATATGCAGTAATAACAATATAAATTAACACACTCATTTGTCCGTTCTAGAATCGCCGTGCGAACAAGAGCTCTCGATAGGATGGGGTCCATCTGAAAAGCAAATATATCAGCTTTATATAGGTTTGCGTCAATTTATGCATCTCTTCCGAATTCCACGCTTCGATCGATATCGTCGATCTCAGGCAATCGCGTCATGTCCAAGTACAACGTCAACGAGGAGTACGACATGGAGAACCGCAGGGAGGTAACACTGACCGGCTTCAGCAATAACGCGCTTGACGATGTTCTTCGCAGCAACAATAATGAATCGAATGCTCTGAACGGTAATCCTGGCAGTGCTCATGCTATCACCAAAGATGCAAAAATTGTTAATCTCGAAGGTAAGAGATTTTTGTTATTATATCTTAATTATTTACAAACACCACAAAGCAGCTTCAAAATATACAGGGTGTCCCAAAAGTCCCGGACCGGTCGAATATTTCATGAATTATGCACTTCAGAAAGAAATGTTCCAAACAAAAGTTGTATGGCTTGAAGGGAGCCATCAGATAGTGGCAATGATTTGACCTTGGAGAGTCATTTGAAAGTGAAGGTCACTTTCAATTTCTTAAAAGGAACTCCCTATTTTTTATTACATATTCGTGTAGCTTATCTCGAGAGCTTTCCAAAACACTAAATAAAGTATTTCTTCATTGAGTACTTTTCGAGTTATGAGGCTTGAAATTATTTTTTAATTTTGCATAAACCATAAAATATCTAGTAAAATATTCATTTTTCGATTATCTTATCTTAATACTTTTATGTACAAAATAATGAGAGGAATCAATTGGTGTAAAGAAAACACATAGTTGTTTTAAAAAAAAATATGTAATTTGCAATTAACAATTACATATTTTTTTTTAAAACAACTATGTTTTTTCTTTACACCAATTGATTCCTCTCATTATTTTGTACATAAAAGTATTAAGGTAAGATAATCGAGAAATGAATATTTTACAAGATATTTTACGATTTATATAAAATTAAGAAATGATTTCAAGCCTCATAATTCGGAAAGTGCTTAATGAAAACTAACTTAATTATAGTGTTTTAGAAAGCTCTCGACGTGAGCTACCAGAATATTTAATAAAAAATAGGGAGTTCTATTTAAGAAATTGACGGTGATCTTTACGTGACTCTCAAATGACTCTCCCATGTCAAATCATTGCCACTATCTGATGGCGTCCTTTAAGCCATACAACTTTTGTCTAAAACATTTCTTTCTAAAGTGCATAGTTTATGAAATATTCGACCGATCCGGAACTTTTGGGACACCCTGTATTCCAAACAGCACAGAACATTGCAACAATATTACAACAATATTGCAATGCTCTTGTAACTTTGCTGCAACATTAAAACATTGTCATAATGTTGCTACAATATTCCATACTGTATGGATAATTTACCAATACAATCATTTTAAAAGAAAATATACAATCAAAAAAAGAGATACCACAAAGAATGTGAAATATTGAACTTAAGAAAAAAAAATATTTTCTTCGATATTTTTTGCTATCAGAGAAGATCGATTTAAAATTGATCGAAAAATATGACATTTGAAAGACATATTTTATATAATGTATCCCGATTAAAGATTTGCTGTTGCTTTTCAAAAAAGGCATCGAATAGAATTGTAATTCTTCATATAAAATATGTGAAATTGCAAGCGCATGTAACTCATCGACGATTCGTGGGAAAATTCGTCGACGTTCAATGAACGCGAGAGTGAAAAACGAGAAAATAATCAGCGTATGATTCAACATATCGCGTCATGTAGCCGGGAGCGACAACGAAACGTTGGCAAAAATTTGCAAAAATGATCGTGCACCGTATATCGACCTTCACTTTCAAGGTCAAACGATCTTTTTTAACGTTTTGCGATATTTATAACTGAAAAAATTGTTTCAAGGCACATTATCTTTATCACGATCATCAATTCACATTACGCATATATGCATTTATGCACGTGTAATATAAGTGACGTACATTGCGACAGCATTTTTTCTAATAATTATCTTAAATAGATAAGATAATGTGCGAAATACTTTTAATAAATGATATATGTACAATGTATTTCGCATGAATAATACAATATTACAGTCGAATGCAACCGAATGTAATAAACCGAATGTAATAACTGTACTTCAAAATTTACGAAATCATATTTATAATTAAAATTTTTCGAAGCAAATTTATTTACAACAATGAGATGACGATACGGAAGAAATAATAAAAAAAGATTTCATTGTCTATATAAAAATCTTTGCAAATTTATATGATATATTTGCACATTGATATTTTTATATTTTTGTTGTTAATACGTTGCAAAAAAATGAATATTTCGATGCGCAATAATGATTTTGTAAATAGTGATATTTCTATTAAAATAAAAATATATTGCACTGTTTATGTAAGAATCTCTGCAAGGTTATATAAGAATCTGATATACCATTTGTGTATTAATGTTTTTATATTTTTGCTGTCAGTACGTTGATTATTATTAATCGTTGATTATTATCAAAAAAATCAATCACTTAGTGCACAATTTTTTAAAATATAACATTAGAATATAAAAAGTTTTACAAGAATAATATGTGTGGCGTCGCGTTAAATCATCTCATTTCAAAGTGTATTTCAACCGACATAAAAATTACGTTTTATCCTTTACAACATCTTAGTCGCGATATATGTATACATATATGGATCTAAATAAGTTACTATTCATTCTATATTTTTTTTTCATTCTATATATTTTTTTCGTATAAATTATCGATTTATATCGCTACTTATATTTTATAAATATATCATTCATATAATCGTTCGAACAATATCGCATACATCGCAAAAAAGAAATCATGTTGATGTATCATGAATAATCGAAGCTATGAAATGTGCAAGATAATATGTTTATTTTCTGATATTCTTATTATATTTAAAAACATTTTTATTGAATTTAAATATATAATTAATTACAAGAAGATTGAAATTAAACTGTAAGATTGAATTTAAGGATAAAGTTTCAAAAAGCATAAACCTCCGATTACACTGAAATTTTAACCAAAGTTTATCCTTGAGTATAAAACACCATGAAAAATTTTTGCAGACAAGACCTCGTTTGTCTCCCACTCCCCTTCAAAGTTTCAAATATTTTTACTGTATATTTCCGAAAATATTGATTTTAGAGAAAAAAGTTTCAGACAAAAAATAAAGCTCTTTAAAAACTCTATAAAAAAGTATATATACATTTTTTATATAAAGCCATTATTTTGGGTGTTATATGATAAAATAATAATTTAAACGCCATCGTGTTAATACAATGTATCGCACCAGATTCATAGAAGAATATATTAATAAGTATGCTTTAGTTGATGAGACATTTCGCTTCGCTTTGCAAAGTACACGCGTAGACACAGTAAGCCGTCCCCCCTCTGCTAAAATCGCGTTAATTATATTTATTGTTCTAATTTCCGTTTCACCATTATTATAATATGGCTATTCTGAGAATAAATATTTTAAATATAAGATACTTTATTGTAAATTTTAAATATGAGATATTGTTTTAATTTTTTCATTTTGAGTTCCATATTTAATAATTTTGAACAATATTTACAAAATTTTAATATGTATATATATATATATATATATATATATATTAAAATTTTGTATATATATATATATATATATATATATATATGTATATATACACGGTGTCAGGTATATATGTATCTAAAAAAAAAAGTTCTTGTAGTTTACCTCGAGAGCATCCCAAAACACAATAATAAAGTATCTTTTCATCGAGTACTTTTCGAGTTATAAGGCTTGAAATAATTTCTTAATTTTTATATAAATCATAAAATATCTAATAAAATATTCATTTTTCGATTATCTTATACTTTTATGTACAAAATAATGAGAGGAATCAATTGATGAGAAAAACGAATCAATTGATGAGAAAAAAGAATAAAGAAAACACATAATTGTTTCGGAAAAAAAATGTAATTGTTAATTGCAAGATACTTCGCCGATGATTTTAAATTTTACACATGTTGTAAGATGAGGTTACTGAAGAATTTTTCTCTATGTTTTATTTGGCAATCTTTTATAGTTTTTGAGTAATTAACAAGAAAGATTTAGTATGTGTATAATTAAAACGTAATGTTCTGACACTATATACATTTAGTACACAAATTACATGGGCTATTTGTGTATTAAAAAAGGCTTCTCTCTTTTTCCACCCCGAAAAAAAATTTCCGTTTTGTACAATACAAAAGTACAATACGATTTGGATTATATAATATAATCCAAAAAGTAATATAAATTAAATTTTTAGTTGTATGTAGATCAGAAATAAGTTTGGGTTAAGTTATTTTCCGGAAATGAAGCCCCAGGGAAGCAGAACTCACTGTCTAGGTATGTTCTTTGCAAGACGAAGCACGAAATACACTCTACATCTAACCTTAGCCCTGAAATTGAACTTTGTTTCACTTTTGTTTTGCAAAGTATATGCATGAACACAGTGGGTTTCGCCCACTTCAATGAAATTATCTCAATATACATCAATATATCAATTATCTCTTTTATGCACAAAATAATGAGAAAAATCAATTGATCTAAAAAAAGTAATAGTTGTTTTTGAGAAAAAATATATAATTGGTAAATTATTAGTAAATAATTAGTAAAACATTTACATATTTTTCTTAAAAACAATTGTGTGTTTTCTTTAATTGATTTTTCTCATTATTTTGAGCATAAAAGTATAGAGGTAAGATAATTAAAAAATGAATTTTATGATATTTTATGAAATATTTTATAGTTTATATAAAATTAAGAAATTTTATTTTAAGCCTCATATCTCAAAAAGTACATAATGAAAAAGTATTTTATTGCAGTGTTTTGAAAGAGAGATAAACTACAAGAATATGCAATGAAAAATTCCATTTAAGAAATTAGGGATTCCAATTAAAAAATTGAAAATGACTTTCATGTGACATTCAAATGACTATTCAAGATCAAATCAGTGGCACCATCTTATATTTCTCTTTGAATAACTTTATTCTGAAATCTTGTTTTTAATTCATTGTCTTCGGAATATTTCGTTGTGTTAATTTAGATGAGACATTATGTATATATATATTGCAAATTTTAAATATTTACTTTTTATTATATTTTGCATATTATTTTACATCTGAAATAAATCTGTACGAGAATATTTGAGATTTTCCAGTGTTAAATTACAATTTTTATTTAAATTTTATTTAAAATTCTAAATAAAACTCAAATAAAACTGATTTTCGTATTATAAGTTGCTCATAATATCAATTTTTCAATTAAAAGAATTATTTTATTTCGAATGCGCGATACTTTTTAAAAGTTGATATTTTCAAAAAATTCACGTACTTTCAAATAAACTCGACACGTTTGTCAAACTGTTAATTGATCAAGGGCATCCAATATGTTGCAGAATAATAAGTAATAATTTCAAAATACGTCGAATAATAATTTACCTTGACATCTTTGTGCATTCGACTCGTATATTTCTCTTTCTTTTCGTTAAAAAAGACGAATAATTTCACGAAGCGACGCAGATAATGTAAAAAAATATCATTATCAATCGTACCGTTGATATGTTAACATAACAGCAGCATATAGAACGTGCCATAAAGTAAAAACGCTTACATTTTATAATTTTTCCTGGTTTATAATATCTTTGTAAATTTTTGTTCCTGCTCGTATTTCAATTTGTTCTATGCAAACATATTTCACTCATATCGCGTTTTTCAAATGTCATCCAATAAATGTTATATTAGTGGAAAATGACTAAAAGAGTTGGGATATTATTGAATTCTTATAACTTTGACAAACTTACAAAACAAATATACATATCAGAAGGTTAAAATCTAAATTTAGATCTAAATCTTTCCTCATACTTTTCAGTGCCACAAAATTCCGATAAAAACGCCTTATATACCTCCGGAAAAAGGTGGTTTTATCGACGAGTAAGAAGCTCTTGCCAGAAAAAGTTGCTATTTAAAAGAATACCGATCCTAGCGTGGTTACCAAATTATCAAAAAAAATACGTAGTGAGCGATCTAGTAGCTGGTATTACCGTAGGACTCACTGTTATACCGCAAGCTATAGCGTACGCTAACGTTGCCGGACTTCCGTTACAGGTAAGATCTAATAATATCCATTAATTACACAGGCCTGCAAAAAGGGAGTCAAAATTTCTTTTTAAGATGCAATAGTGATTTTTGACGTAATTTTGTGTGCTGAATCCGAATCTGGCCGCCGAATTTGCGTAGCACGTTAGGTTTTTGAGTTATTTGTAGTTGAATAGCCCAAAAATCGCTATTTCGGCCAATTTCATGAATTTATTGTAGGTAAACCAAATTTTTTGAAATATTTCTGTCAATGGCATCGTACAGTACTCACACCTTCATCTTTCGAATCCACTTTCGAGTACCGCCGCACGATTTTTTTTCGCTCAGATATACAAGTCATAAGACTGGTCATGCCTAGGGATCTAAATCAACCGTGCCACCTCTTTATTTCACTACGAATCAAAATTAGGATAAAAATATACATTTTTAAACCTTCTGTTTTGAAATTAAAAATGGCGCATCCAATATGGCGAATAGAATCACAATAAAAAGGCATAAAATTTAGAAAAATTTATTAAAATGTGTAACAACTGTATTAGATATTTCTTTAGAATATTTTTTCGGACAACCGAATCTGACATATGTCAGTCTTTTTAACTTTCAACATCATGGATCTACCATATTGATGTCTATATAAATTTTCTTTAACGTAAATTTTCTTACGACTTATATATCTCAGCGAAGAAAAATCGTGCGGCAGTAATCGAAAGTGGATTTGAAAGGCGAAAGTTAGTATTATACGATGCCATTGGCAGAAATATTTCAAAAAATTTGGTTTCCTCGCAATAAATTCATGAAATTGGCCAAAATAGCGATTTTTGAGCTATTCAATTACAAATTACTCAAAAACGTGACGTGCAACGCAAATTCGGCGGCCAGATTCGAATTCAACTCACAAAATTACGTCGGAAATCACTATTGCATCTTAAAAAGAAAAATCTCGCAGGCCTGTGTTATGAGTACAATTATGTACGCATAATTATTTTCATCAATGTAATTGATTTGTTTTTCCTATGTTTTATATATTGAGATATAGACATAAGAAAAATTTTATCTAAAAATTGTCAAGAATTTAATTCTCATAAATTAATGACAAATATTGCCGCAATATTAAAACAAAACAATAAAATTTATGATGATTAAAAAAAAATGCACAAGATTGTTCTGGGTTACAGTATGGACTCTATTCGTCTTTTATGGCCTGTTTCGTGTATACAATTTTTGGCTCTTGGAAAGATGTACCTGTGGGACCAACCGCGATCGTCGCACTTCTAACAAGAGAGACATTACAAAAGGCCCATCTAGGGCCCGATTTCGCAATATTATTGTGTTTCGTCTCGGGCTGCATTTCTCTACTGATGGGCATTTTGCATTTAGGTAACATTGCAAAAATACAAATCTCATGTAAAAATTCATGAATCATTGCCTTCGCAATTATATTCTAATTAATACAGCTTTAGCGCTGTTCATAAATAATACTTTTACTTTAATTTTTAAATATATGTATAATAGTTTTAATTCAAAATATACATCGAATATCGATATAACGAAGTACTATTTTGAATCAGTAGATTGCTTATCAAGTGATTGCTTATCATATTCTCTCTTTCCGAGATATTCTTCTTATATAATACACTTATAATAATCACGTATAATAGAATTAAAAAGTGAATAAAAAACAACAATATATTTTATAACTACAATATATTTATTTTGCACATGTGCCATTAGAATGAAGAGAAAATTTTCATCTTCCCAATGAATCTTCTTTACAATATAAACATTTTTATCATATATATTTTACAACTATATTTTAAATATATTTAAAACATATCTACATTTTGATCCTTTCTTATATATTTATATGGCTAATATATTTCCAATATATATACACATATGATAAAACTGCATATTAGCGACGACTTCACCAATTTCGATGATCTTGATATACAGGGTGTCCCAAAAGTCCCAAACCGGTCGAATATTTTATAAACTATGCACTTTAGAAAGAAATGTTTCAGACAAAAGTTATATGGCTTGAAAGGGGCCATCAGATAGTCGCAATAATTTGACTTTGGAGAGTCATTTAAAGGTGACGTAAAGGTCACTTTCAATTTCTTAAATGGAACCCCCTATTTTTTATTACACATTCGTGTAGCTTATCTCGAGAGCTTTCCAAAATACTATAATAAAGTATTTCTTCATTGAGTACTTTTCGAGTTATGAGGCTTGAAATCATTTCTTAATTTTGCATAAACCATAAAATGGTTAATTTTGCATAAACCATAAAATTGGTGTAAAGGAAACACATAGTTTAAAAAAAAAATATGTAATTGTTAATAGCAAATTACATATTTTTTTCTTATAAACAACTATGTTTGTTCTTTACACCAATTGATTCCTCTCATTATTTTGTACATAAAAGTATTAAGATAAGATAATCGAGAAATGAATATTTTACAAGATATTTTACGGTTTATGTAAAATTAAGAAATGATTTCAAGCCTCATAATTCGGAAAGTACTCAATAAAGAAATACTTTATTATAGTGTTTTGGAAACTCTCGAGATAAGCTACACGAATATTTAATAAAAAATAGGAAATTCCATTTAAGAAATTGACGGTGATCTTTACGTGACTTTCAAATGACTCTCCCATGTCAAATCATTGCCACTATCTGATGGCCTTCTTCAAGCCATACAACTTTTGTCTAAAACATTTCTTTTTAAAGTGCATAGTTTATGAAATATTCGACCGGTCCGGGTCTTTTGGGACACCCTGTATGTTGTTAAGAACATGTTCCTGATTAATTTGCAAAAAGTTTTAGCCGTCGCTCGTTGTGTATTATAAAATTATATACAAAATAAGTTCAATGATCCCCCATGGATTTTCAATTTGTTATATGAAACGAGATTTATTCTATACCCTCTGCGTGTGTGTTTTCAATGCAAAACTATACAATCCATTATTGTATAATTTCACTAGCGGATCCTGGAGGAGGAGGAATTTAGGGTACCCTCCCCCCTGCAAATTAAAAGAAATTAATTTTGCTGAATTATCATCGGGATCAGAAGGTTCATCATGTCCTCGTCGTTGATCCTGGAGTAAAAGTTAAGCATGAAACCAAAAATATTAAATCAAATAATTTTACAGAAATCCCCCCCCCCCTCCTCCCCATTATCAATGTCAGGATCCACTGATGTATAATTTCATATAGATTTTCAATATTCCACACAAAACGAAGTTTACATTATTATTATGCCATCGATTAGTCACTATCTTCAATTATTTATAACCTTGTTATAATTAATGTGCGACAGCTAAAATCTTTTGAATGTCAAGGATGTGTTCTTGATAACATATGTCAAAGTCATCGAAATTGATAAAGTCGTCGTTAATAAGTAGTTTTACCATATTTTTTTATGCGAATCGATATGTTAGGATTCCTATTGGATTTTATATCGGGGCCAGTATCCGTGGGTTTTACATCGGCGGCATCGATCATCATCGCTACCAGTCAGGTGAAAGATATTCTCGGGGTCCAAGTTACCGGTACTAAATTTGTGGAAGTTTGGCAAAGTATCTTCGAGCATATCGGCGAGACGAGATGTTGGGATACCATTCTCGGAGTTATCTGCATAATCATTCTTCTGCTTCTCCGAGTAAGAGCGATTCTATTTAAATCGTAACTTGTTGTTTTAATGGTAATCGAATAATCTAAATTCAGACATACGACGTAATCGAGTAATTCTCTTTTGATTACATATTTATTTTATTACAGCTTACACACACACACACACACACACACACACACACACACACACACACACACACACACACACAACAAACTTATGTGTGTGTGTGTGTGTGTGTGTGTAAACCCCCCTGTTAAATTAAAATTATATAAAATTTAACTGACTGCAGTTTTTTCAATTGTATTCTTAGAAAAATTCTTAGAAAAATAAATCAGATAAATATTATTTTTTTTATTTGTAATTAAAAATTAAATAAATGTATATTTTTGTTTTTTTAGATTGTTTTTTTATTTTTATTTAATATTGGCATAGTCAATAGTTTTATTTTTTATTATTAATCAGATAAATATTATTTTTTTATTTGTAATCAAAAATTAAATAAATGTATATTTCCGTTTCTTTAGATTGTTTTTTTATTTTTATTTAATATTGGCATAGTCAATAGTTTTATTTTTTATTATTTGTTTAATATTGAACTAAATAGTTTAATATTTTTCACACAACTCTAGCTCTATAGGCGTTATTGCTTTTTTTTCAAATTCGTTACAATAAATCGTTTTATCCTTTCCTATCGCTATCATTATAGCACATCATTATTTTCCATTTACATTGTCGCTTAAAGTCAATTTACGAACCGATGCGAATGTTTGTAATATCGATTATGAATTCAAACGACAATTATGAAAAATGATTATTATTCGAAATAATATTTTCTTCATATTTTTGTTAACGATGTTTTAATTATAATTTTAATTTATTATAATTTTAATCCTTCTATCAACAGATAATTTCGTTGTTTCTCAACGCAATATTTTTATCATACATTCTTTTAGATGAATAATTTTTGTTGTCTTATGTACAATGTATAATTGTATATGTATGTATAATTAATTATTACATATATATATATATATATATATATATATATATATATATATTATAACATAATATTTAAATAACAATAATTATAATTGATTAATTAAACAAATAAAATTATTTTATTGCAGTATAATTTTATTAATCGCGTCCATCAAAGGAAGCGAAATATTGGGATATGTAACAACGAAAATTATTTATCTCTTGAAATGTTTGGTGGTGGAAAACATTGCTTCGAAATATTCTTGTTTTTTATATTTTAATAGCAAAGGAAATTCAAACGCTACTTTTGATATATTAATAGAAAGTGAAAGACTGGCCGATAATATCAAAAAATACCAAAGTACCGTCGCAGCTTCAACAAATCATCACAAAGTTGCTCTGGCTGATTTCCACATCCAGAAACATCATCATAGTGATTGTCTGCGCGGTTATGTGCTGGCTCTTCGAGAAACATCTCGGAGAATCGCCCGTCATTTTAACGGGTCATGTGAAACAAGGACTGCCAGAATTCCGTTTACCGCCTTTCGAAGCTCAGGTCGGGAACGAAACCTATACCTTCATCGATATGGTTTCTTCCCTAGGCACTGGTTGTCTGATCGTCCCCATGTTGAGTTTGCTAGAAACCATCTCCATCGCCAAAGTATTCTGTAAGAAAGTGTTAAACACTCAAACATTTATTTTATTAAACAATAATTAAACAAAGTTTACGAAATAGGAATAAAACTAGAATATAAAAATGAAATATGAGAAGTATAAGATAATAAATAATAATTCTTCTGAAAAATTATTTTTATACATTTTGTCCCGCATAAACTTTGGATTTGAAATAATAAATTTATATTTTAAATAAATGCATTGCAATGCATTTTAAGTGTGTAATTAAACGGATTACAGCGGAGGGCAAATCGATAGACGCGACTCAAGAGATGCTAGCATTAGGCGCGTGCAACGTGATATCATCATTTGTGTCATCGATGCCCGTGAGCGGTGGCCTTAGTCGAGGCGCGGTCAATCACTCGTCTGGAGTAAAGACTACGCTCGGTGGCGTCTACACCGGCTTATTAGTACTTATATCGTTACAGTTCCTCACACCTTACTTGTATTATATCCCGAAAGCCGCCTTAGCAGCCGTCATTATCGCTGCGGTCATCTTTATGATGGAATTTCAGCTGGTGAAGCCGATGTGGCGAAGCAAAAGTACGCTTCTTTTTACAAAATTAATAATGAAATAAAAGCCACGACAATAATAGAGTGGAATAGAACTTAAGCGGTTACGAATAAATAAATACGAGAAAATTGATCATATAAAAGATCTTCTTGAAAAAAGATCAGGATGGATCATAAATACATCCTTTATTATTTATTCTTAATTTTATTATTATTATAATTATAATAATAATAATTATATTTATTATAATAATTATATTTATAATAATAATAATTATTATTATTATTATATTTATTCTTAATTTATTTATTATTAATTATTTTCTCAAACCAATAATTATTATTATTAATTAATATTAATTATAAATTATAATTTATTAATAATTATTAATTTGCAATCATTTTTTATTGCTAGAGCAATATTATATATAAAAAATTTGTTCAATTATGTTTCAACATCTTTTTTCTACAATCACTCACATTTTTCTTGCATTATTCATTTTTAGAAATTGATCTCATACCAGCTGTAGCTACGTTCCTATGTTGCCTCTTTATACGACTCGAATTGGGCATAGTAATCGGCATTGGTATAAATCTCCTGTTCCTACTTTATGCCTCGGCTAGACCAACGTTACGAGTTCATAAAGCTACGGTGAGTTTATAACACTATGTAAATCCTGTGACACATAAAATACATATTTTTATCTCAAAAAACAATAACGAGTTGTTAATAAATTGAAACATTTTTTTTTATTTTTTTACCCGAATTAAATATCAATTTATAGATTCCAAAATATAACTCTATAATAACTTTGTAATATAAGTCTATAAAAATATTTTACATAATACACACACACACACATACGTACACACACACATATATATATACAGGTGTTTCATTTTAATTTCCGCAGCCAAATATTTCGGAAAATAATGATAATTCGAAAAAATGTTTCAGACAAAAGTTGTATGGTTTCGAGTGGAACATAAGATGGTGCCATTAGTTTGATCTTGAAAAGTTGTATGATTTCGAGTAGAACATAAGATGGTGCTATTAATTTGACATTGAAGAGTCACCTAAAAGTCACATGAAGGTCACCTCCAACTTTTTAAATAGGACCTATATACTTTTGCATATTCTTGTAGCTTATCTTGAGAGTTTTCCAAAACATTATAAAAAATTAAATTAATTTTTTAAGTACTTTTCTCAGTTCCATTTAAAAAGTTGGAGGTGACCTTCACGTGATCTTCAGGTGACTCTTCAATGTCAAATTAATAGCACCATCTTATGTTTTACTCGAAATCATACAACTTTTGTCTAAAATATTTTTGCTGAAAATGCTTCGTTAAAAAATTATCGAAATTTTTTTAAATGAGACACCCTATATATATATATATATATATATATATATATATATATACACACAGGGTGTCCCATTTAAAAAAATTTATCCTGTCATATCATCCTGTGTGTGTATATATATATATATATATATATATATATATATATATATATATATCCCATATATATATATATATATATATATATATATATATATATATACACAGGGTGTCTCATTTTAAAAAATTTCGATAATTTTTCAACGAAGCATTTTCAGTAAAAATATTTTATGCATATATATATACAATAGTATAATGTAAAGAAGAAAGTTTAATATAAACACACACACACACACACACACACACGCACGCACGCACGCATATATATACAGGGTGGGGAAAAAGTATGGAAGCAAACAATTATTTCCGAAACTATTCATCTTCCAAAAAATTCTATGAATACTCATAGACAGTGTATCATATGACAACAGGTACAATTACATGTTATTAGTGGACGCAACTGAACGTCATGATGCGAAATCAGTAAGCAATGTCAATGTGCATACAAATTGTTTGTATCACAATTGTTTCGTAACTGGGAGTGTTTTTAAGGGAATGGGGCTCATATACAGTGTTTTGTAAACGTTTCGACATCAGTTACAAGAATCTGTAACAAAAACTGACGAGTTCCATTTGAAATTTTTTACGTTATTTGTATGCAGCTCGTAAGGGTTATTTCAAGGTCATGCCGTCTATGCCACATAATACATCTTTTCATACCATAAAAATTATGTCTAAGACATTTTGTCAAAAAATGAATAGTTTCGGAAATAATTGTTTGCTTCCATACTTTTTCCCCACCCTGTATATATATATATATATATATATATATATATATATATATATGCGTGTGTGTGTGTTAAATACGACTATGTCTCGAAATAATATTTTCTTTGAATCTTTTTCTTTTTAATTACTTTCTGATTGAAGATATGCAACTATGTATGTATAATGTAAAGAAGAAAGTTTAATATAAACACACACACACACACACACGCATATATATATATATATATATATATATATATATATATATATATGCGTGTATGTGTGTGTGTGTGTGTATGCGTGCGTGTGGCGCGCGCGCGCGCGCGTGTGTGTGTGTGTGTGTGTGTGTGTGTGTGTGTTTATATTAAACTTTCTTCTTTACATTATACACACATAGTTGCATATCTTCAATCAGAAAGTAATTAAAAAGAAAAAGATTCAAGGAAAATATTATTTCGAGACATAGTCGTATTTAATACAACAAAATATTAATGTATTATATTCCTTTTCTTTTGCATAGAGTATCGGTGGTTGTAAATATCTTGTCATAACTCCGGATCGAAGTCTGGTGTTTCCAAGTGTTGAATACGTGCGAGCCATCATTAGTAAGCAGGGATTGCGAGAAGGAACCGCTATGCCAATTGTAATAGATTCCACGCATATTCAAGCAGCCGACTTCACCGCTGCAAAGGTGCAAATAGAAATCTTGAAAGAGGGGATAATGAAACTTTAATTATTATTCTTATATACTTTGACATGCTACATTAATCAAGTGTTGTATCGTCTCTCCATCATCAACTTTTCCATTTACAGGGTATTAAAACTTTAATAGAGGATTTTGCTAAGCGAGGTCAGCCCTTAATCTTTCATAACTTAAAGCCGAGCGTTATCGAGATCTTTAAAGGTGTAAAACCTTCGGGCCTCACGTGCAGTTCTAGTGAACTCGAACTCAATGACTGCCTTAAAGGTAAATCTATCTTTATAATAAGATTTTTTTACGTATTTTTTTTTTCTAAATGTCATTTTCTAAATATGTATTTGTAATTTTATATATTTTTTTACTGCAGAACATACAAATGTTTCCATGGAAGGCCTCAATCGATATTAAACACATGTGGATGAAGAACAATAGATTCGAATAAATTTTTCCTTTCTGAATAGAAATCAGTATTATAATAAAAATATCGTGGCTTTCACACGTTATAGATAATAGTGTATATATAGATATGTACATATGTGTATTTATAAGAATTGACATAAAATTAGCCTTGTAAATCTGCGCGATGTACACAAGTAAAATATTCTTGCACAAAAAGCGGGAACTTAAATTATATATATATATATATATATATATATATATATATATACATATATATATATATATATATATCGAAGTTAATTTATATTAAATTAGATAAGATACATAGTAGCGGAAAGTCTATTAATTGATGCATAATTGATGGTATTGAGAAGATATTAATTTTATATTATTAAATTAATTTTATATTAATAAAAAGAAATATAGATTAAAAATGTAAAATAAAATTTTTATATGATGCTTTATTTTTAAGAAAGTCAAATTAAAAAGTTATGATATTTTTTTCTCTGTTTTGTTCATGTGATTTTTAAATCATTACCACGTCATATACAAATTATATTTTAAAATAACAAAAGATTGTATAATTTTTTTATTTTTAAAGTCTATTTTGTAAAAAAAATATCATATATATCAAAACAAAATGTTACGTATATTTTATTTTCTTATATAGACAGAGTTACTCTTTTTTGTATATATACAGAGAAATAGTGATTTTGTAACAATGTGTATATGCATGCGGACCATTCTATATCGCCATATGTTTAATAAATGTTTATTTAATTATGTGAATTATGATAGCATTACTGTGAAAAAAATTTATCATAAATATACAGGGTATCTCGCAACATGATGTCCATACTGAAACTGTATACTTGGTGTTATTCTAAATTAAAAATTCTTAATATATATATATATATATATATATATATATATATATATATATCTCCTAAAGTTTATTGTTATAAACAGAAAACAAAATTACATAAAATAAGAACAATATTATTTATTGAAGATACAAGTATTATTTATTGAACAATAATATATTAAATAATAATTAATTATTTTATAAATTGTTCAAAATTACCACCGTTTTGGTTCACTTCTGTTTTTTGAGTTATTGATGTTATGGCAATTTTTAAATGAAAAATTTTATAAGCGCTGCGTAATGATATACATAACGATGCGGGACTTCCTTTGCGTTTCATAACATCAATAACTCAAAGAGTAGAATTGTGTGAAGATCAAAACGATGGTCATTTTGAATAATTTATAAAAGAATTAATTATTGTTTAATATATTATTGTTATCTTCAATAAATAATACTGCTTTTATTTTATGCAATTTTGTTTTTTGCGTTATAATTTTAAAATAATCAACTTTATATTAAGACTTTTCGATTTAGAATGACACTAAGAATATGCAGTTTCAATATGAACATCATCCCAAGTAGCAAGATGACGTCTAAAGACGTCTTAAAGACGTCTTAAAGACGTTATAGACGTCATCTTGCTACCCGGGATGTGACATCCTATATAGAAATTTTGTCATCACATGTACACACACGTACGCGTAAAATATGTATTCCATAAACGCGAGTAAGCGATACGCATTTATCTTGAAAAATGATAATCGATTATATATTTTAAAATATCTCATAATTGTTAATATACGACATTGTAAAATATATACATGTGTATATTTAACAAAATAACATCAATTAATTCACGCTAACATCTCTCGCACCTCCGGTCGGCGTCGCTATGTAGAATTCAGGTACACCAGAGTATCTATAACAAAAAATATTTTAGTAATATTTATGAAATAATATAAGAAATACAGAGAAAGCGTATCCAATTAAATACAGATTATGAAAAAAATACTAACTTTGCTTTCATATGTTGGATCGCCTTATTAACCGCATCTTTTCTCAACAAAGTCACAGTGCAACCGCCGAAACCCGCGCCTGTCAAACGGCTTCCTAATACACCGTCTACTTCTCTAGCTGCAGATACAAGCGAATCGAGCTCCTTGGACGAGACCTCGTAATCATCACGCAATGAATCATGACTCTCATTCATTAATCGACCGAATAGCTGAAAGTCACCTTTTTCGAGCGCTATTGCGGCGTCTTGGGTACGTTGAATTTCCGTGACTACGTGACGAGCTCTTCTCACAATATAATCGGACGCGTTATTCCGTGATGTTAACGCTAAAAACACAAATGTTAATCTAACATAGGAACGATTAGAAAGCATACAGAATGTATATTTATTTATTATTTTACGTTGTATTAAAATGATTATACAGGGTGTCCCAAAAGTCCCGGACCGGTCCCCGACCGGAATATTTCATAAACTATGCACTTCAGAAAGAAATGTTTCAGACAAAAGTTGTATGGCTTGAAGGGGCCATCAGATAGTGGCAATGATTTGACATGGGAGAGTCATTTGAAAGTTACGTAAAAATCATCGTCAATTACTTAAATGGAACTCCCTACTTTTATTAAATATTCTGGTAGCTCACGTCGAGAGCTTTCCAAAACACTATAATTAAGTTAGTTTTCATTAAGTACTTTCCGAATTATGAAGCTTGAAATCATTTCTTAATTTTACATAAACCGTAAAATATCTTGTAAAATATTCATTTTTCGATTATCTTACCTTAATACTTTTATGTACAAAATAATAAGAGGAATCAATTGGTGTAAAGAAAAAACATAGTTGTTTTTAAGAAAAAAATATGCAATTTGCAATTAACAATTACATTTTTTTTTTTAAACAACTATGTGTTTTCTTTACACCAATTGATTCCTCTCATTATTTTGTACATAAAAGTATTAAGGTAAGATAATCGAAAAATAAATCTTTTACTAGATATTTTACGGTTTATGTAAAATTAAGAAATGATTTCAAGCCTCATAATTCGGAAAGTACTTAATGAAAACTAACTTAATTATAGTGTTTTGGAAAGCTCTCGACGTGAGCTATCAGAATATTTAATAAAAAATAGGGAATTCCATTTAAGAAATTGACAGTGATCTTCAAGTGACTTTCAAATGACTCTCCCATGTCAAATCATTGCCACTATCTGATGACCCCCTTCAAGCCATATAACTTTTGTCTGAAACATTTCTTTCTAAAGTGCATAGTTTATCAAATATTCGACCGGTCCGGGACTTTTGGGACTTGTATAAAATGATTATCCACATTTAATAAAATTCAGTCAAGAAATAATAAAATTGAGAAAAATAATGTCATTACCTAAGATATCGTTTATATCCGCATCTCTTAAACTCTTCTTGCCCAGAATCTTAGCAGCATCGTAACAACAATCTCGACGCTCGCAATAAGCACTCGAGCTTAACTTATGCGGTGCGTTTGAGTTTGTTATGAGAAAGACATAGTCATCTATATATATCATGGGTATCTGCTTAGTAGTGAGATCTCGGCAGTCAAGTAGAAGAGCACAGCCTTCCTTGCCCATTACTGAGATGAACTGGTCCATTATACCGCAAGGTACTCCAGCAAAGTTGTGCTCCGCTTTTTGACATGCCAGAGCCTACGATATATCCACTGATAAAAATATTCTCACAAAATAATGTCTAATCAATTATTTTTTTTAATGGCATTCATAAAAAAAAACAACTACACCAACTTGATTTATAATTATTTATGCTTTGTATAGACGTTTATTATTATAATTAAATATTTATATTTGAAAAGTTGTCGGAATCAAACAATTTCTTTACACGATTACCTTTTGTTCTGGTTTCTCCGGTTTCTTTTCGCTTAATGCTTCTAAGAAGGTATACGTCGCTACTTCTAAAGCCGCTGAACTGCTGAGACCGGCACCTGCCGGTACAGTCGACACAATCACAGCATTAAACGCAGGGACGTCGCCTAAAATGTGAGCACATTGATTACATTATATATATAGAATACCTCAAAATAATACAAAATTATTTCGAATCGAAATATTTCAAAATTATCTATCTCCTATGCCTATTTTACTTCTTATTGTTAGTCACAGATTTTAACACGATTTTCTGTTGTAAAAGTTGTAGAATTAAAGAAAGAATAATTGTAAGTAATTGTGGAATTAAAAAATAATTAATATTGCAAAGCACTAATAAATTTGTAATGAATTTATTATTATGATCTGAATTAATTATTATGATAAATATTGTGATACGTATTATGATAATTATGACAATTATGATATTATAATAATTATTATGCTAAAGGTTATAAAAATAACTTACATATAAAATTAGCGATGCAGCCTTTTATATAATTCGCCCATTTTGGCTCGCCCGGTTTTATATCAGATCGTTTTCCCGCTTCAAATTCGAACTCGTTCGTAACGTCGACTATGTCACTTGCAGAAATAATTTTGCTTTTTCGACCATCGTGAGATTTTCCGGCTATCATCGTGATCATCGGTAGCGCCTGATAATAGAATTATAAAAATGAAGATTAGTATAAATGAGACTCAAACAATAAACATTTAATATTAAAAAGGCTCTTTGGGCTTTTTTATATTATTAATCGGGACTTCCTTTTTATATTAAATTGTAATATTAAAGTAATTATAAATATTTATATAATTATTTTAATTATATAAGTATTATTAAAATCAATTATACAGGGTATCCCATTTTAATCGATCACCTTGAATAATTTTTTATTTTTTATTTTTAATTGTAGAAAAAAACGTTTCAGACAAAAGTTATATGGTTTCGAGGGGGATATATAAGATGATATTAGTGGTTTGACCTTGGATAGTCATTTAAAGATCATGTGAAGATTACCTTCAATTCCTTAAATGGAACGCCCTATTTTTTATTGCTTATTCTTACAGCTTATCTCGAGAACTTTCCAAAACACTATAATAAAGTATTTTTCCATTGAGTACTTTTCAAGTACGTTTTAAGTAAAAAATATGTAATTTTTAACGTGAACAAGTATAAAGAAGTTTCAGTGCAGTAACAACATGGCACAATTATTTGAAATTACATTTATATTATTAATAAATAGTATTATAATATTATATTGAGATAACGAAAAATAAAACGTGAGACAAAAAATACTAGTATTTTATATTGATCCTTTCGTATCTCCGGCTTTCCCAAAAGAGATGCGTTTCATACGAAAACAGTTTAATGGGTTTTTGAGGGTGCTGATTTCAAATTTACTATCAAAGCTTAAATTCAAAATGGCTGATTCAAGATGGCGGTCATAAAGCTGAGAAATATTGATATATCTAAAATATGAGCTTAGATTTTATTTTTTTAAATGTATATTATATTTTTTCTGAATACACACACACACACACACACACACACACACACACTCGACTCGCAGCATTGTTATACACTTTTTTTGCAGGCCACACATCTGCCGCGAGACTTTTCGGATATCCTCACAGTTCGTCTTATTTCGCGCACATTTTGATTATACATATAAAATATTATGATATTTATCACAATAAAATAATCACGTTTAAATAAAACTTTAAGACCCGATTGCACCAATGTTATTTCAGCTTTAAACGAGACTTAAATATAACTATAATATACTTATATTTTTTCTAAATAAATAAAGACAAACATATATTTAAGTTTCACTTAAAACTAAAATAACATTAGTGCAACGGGGCTTAAGTATATAATTAGCGTATCAATTTTACGATTTTTCGATATACAGTTTATTCTTCACTATCTAAAAGTTTGTTTTTTTTGCAAAGTTTAGATAACTATATTTTATTGCAAACATTACATTTCAAATGCTCGATTTTTTTATATGTAGCTTAAACTTTCTTCTTTAAAATAAACCAAAGTAAAAGTCGATAGGATTATTTGTTTAAAAGTTATGAATTTTTTAGTAGGTGGGACATGTATGTCCCGGAGTTACGAAAGAGTTAAGATAATGCTAATAAAAAAACGTACACTTGTATACTAACTATCTAATTTTAAAATTGTAAGTTTAAAATTTTTAATTATTATTTTGTTTATTAAGGAAAACTTTTAATAAATTATTTTTTTCTTCTGTAATCTTATTAGCAATTGTTAATTTCTTCTCAATATTTTCTGTTGTATTTCTTTGTAGAATTGCTGGTTCGCTCTCTATGATACCTCGACTTATTTGTCTTCAGCTTATCCATATATAAATTTGACAATTTATTCTTTAACAATATAATTTCGTGAATATAACAATTATAACATAAAAAATCTTTACATGTAATAATAATAATAATAATAATAATAATAATAATAATAATAATAATAATAATAATATAATAATAATAATAATATAATAAACTTTCTTTCAATTTGGTAAAAATTAATAGTAATATATATATTACATAGTTAAAATATTTTCATAGTAAAAATTAATAGTAATATATATATTACATAGTTAAAATATTTTCAAATTCTGATTATATAATTTTATCATTTATAATTTAATATAAAAAAAATTGTTGATGATACTATTTTAACGTTATAATTTAATTTTAAAAGAATGTATTATTATTCACAATTTTAAAAGAATTGTTACTTTAATAGAATTGTTACTTATTTCAAAATTTAATAAATTCTATTTTAATACGTTTTAATTACTTAAATATGTTTCTCTTTTTCTCTTTAATATTTAACAGATTACTTTAATGTTTAGTAAATTATTTTAATATTTATAATAAATTGTGATTACTTTTAATTATTAATTATAAAGTTAAATCTCCCGCTCTATTATTAACTTACACAATTTTTGCACTGCCTGCTCTCCTTCAAGATCTAGTGCAACGAGTACAGTGAACTGTTGCACTGAATTTTGTTACACAATAAAGATAAAGGATGTGAGAGACATATTACACGCAATAAAGAACGCTTCGCAACTACACCCTAGTACACTAGTGCAGAAAGTTCAACAATAAAGAACAAACCTAATAATAGATTTTTTATCGCATTGAAAACACGGAACAGTTAGAAATGGACGTCGCTTTGCGTGAAAAGTTGCAAACCTATGTGGAACCGCATAATAATAGATCTCATTTCGTACTGAAAACATAGAGCAATGTGAATTAGACTTCGCTTTACATTGAAAATCCATATGGAATCATACGATAATAAAAAACTCAATGAGTATAATTTCACATGAATTTTCAATTTTCCACTTAAAGCGAAGTCGACTTCACACCCCATACCACTACTGCTACCAATACGAAACGAGATCTATTATTGTATGGTTCCACATAGATTTGCAAGTTTTCACGAGAAACGAGATTCATCTCACACCACCGCTGCAGTCAGTGCGAAGCGTAATTTAGCGATAATTAAAAAACTTTTTGAAGGTCACTCAGGGTCATGATCTTGACAACATATGTCAAGGTCATCAGCAGATAGTCATTATCATATTATTGTATATTCGAAGGTTACGTACAATTTATGAAATTTTTTTTGTTTATAACTTTTTAATAAATAAACGAGTCGAAAACCTTCACAATATTACTCAAAGTGATGATAACATATGCGAGAATTATAAAATCGGGAGATGGTTCCTGAATTAATTGTCTGTACAATTGTATGTACAATCAATATAATTCATTCATACATAATTCAATTTAATAAAATGTTATATTTTAATGAATAATTCTGATAATAATTTACAGTGCGTGCAGACAAAATGTTATGCAAGCAGCAAGTTATCGCAGCAAATATTATCAGCATATTTTAAACTTATATATTGCACATTTTTAAACTGTTGTCATTTCATAAAAACGTATTAATTTTTAAATAACTACGAAGTAAGAGCTCAGTGTTTTAAACAAATGAATAAATAGAGATAGCCCTGCATGCAAGAACAATCAGATTCAAATTTTTTTACTTTTAATTTTGGAAATATCTTAACAGTTGATTTTTCGAAAAAAGCGCTGATATGATAAAAGCTATTAAGCTCACTGAATACTTGATGAAGTAACTCAAAAGAATCCCTTCTTATTTAAAAAAAGGAAAGTGTAATTGATAATATAGGAACCAAGGGCGTATATTCAAGATTCTTCAAAGTATGTGTCTCCACTTATCTTACAATTTTGATAATGGATATTTTCCTCTATTTCTAACATCGTTTTTAAGAAAAATGTGATAAATTTTTTTATTAGATTCACACTCTGTATAATAGCAAAATACAATTAAATATTTTATTAACAATAAAGCGTTCGGAATGCCATTGTATGTCGCAGCAAATACTATCAGCATATTTTAAACTTGTATTTAGTAATTTATATATATATATATATATATATATATATATATATATATATATATATACAGGGTTTACCAAAAGTATGGAAACCCCTTAATATTTCGAAAAATACGCATTTAAAAAAAAAGAGTTTCATACAAAAGTTATAGGGTTTTATGTGGCGCATTACATAGTAACATTATTATGACCTCGAATAGCGTTGTCAAGGTTATGTGAAGGTCAGCTTCAATTTTTTAAATGGAATCCTATATTTTTTATTACATTATCTTGCAACTTATCTTTGAGCTTTTCAAAACACTATAATAAATTATTTTTCCATGAAGTACTTTCCGAGTTATGAAGTTTGAAATCATTTCTTAATTTTACATAAACCATAAAATATCTTGTAAAATATTCATTTTTCGATTATCTTACCTTAATACTTTTATGTACAAAATAATGAAAGGAATCAATTGGTGTAAAGAAAACACATAGTTGTTTCTAAGAAAAAATATGTAATTTGCAATTAACAATTCCATATTTTTTCTTAAAAACAACTTTCTGTTTTCTTTACACCAATTGATTTCTCTCATTATTTTATTTACATAAAAGATGAAGTTTACATATTAAGATAAGAAGTTTACATATTAAGATAAGGTAATCGAAAAATGAATGTTTTGCAAGATATTTTACAGTTTATGTAAAATTAAGAAATGATTTCAAACCTCATAACTCGGAAAGTACTTCATGGAAAAATAATTTATTATAATGTTTTGAAAAGTTCTTAATATAAGCTGCAAGATAATGTAATAAAAAATATAGGGTTCCATTTAAAAAATTGAAGCTGACCTTTGCATAACCTTGACAACGCTATTCGAGGTCATAATAATGTTGCTGTGTAATGCGCCACATAAAACCCTATAACTTTTGTATGAAACTTTTTTTTAAAATGCGTATTTTTCGAAATATTAAGGGGTTTCCACACTTTTGGTAAACTCTGTATACAGGGTGAGGCATCTAAAACAGGCCACCTGAATAACTCCGTTGGTAAGCCGAATACAAAAAAATTGTTCAGACAAAAGTTGTATGGTTTCAAGGGGGACATATGATGGTGTCATTAGTTTAATCTTGAAGAGCCACCCGAAGGTCACGTGAAGGTCAGCTCCAACTTTTTAAATGGGACACCTTATATGCTTTTGCACATTCTTGTAGCTCATCTCAAGAGCTTTCCAAAACACTACAATTATGTTAGTTTTCATTAAATACTTTCCAAGTTATGAGGCTTGAAATCATTTTTTAATTTTAGATAAACCGTAAAATATCTTGTAAAATATTCATTTTTCGATTATTTTACCTTAATACTTTTATGTACAAAATAATGAGAAGAATCAATTGGTGTAAAGAAAACACATAATTGCTTCGAACAAAAAAATGTAATTTGCAATTAACAATTACATTTTTTTGTTCGAAGCAATTATGTGTTTTCTTTACACCAATTGATTCTTCTCATTATTTTGTACATAAAAGTATTAAGGTAAAATAATCGAAAAATGAATATTTTACAAGATATTTTACGGTTTATGTAAAATTAAAAAATGATTTCAAGCCTCATAACTTGGAAAGTATTTAATGAAAACTAACATAATTGTAGTGTTTTGGAAAGCTCTTGAGATAAGCTACAAGAATATGCAAAAGCATATAAGGTGTCCCATTTAAAAAGTTGGAGCTGACCTTCACGTGACCTTCGGGTGGCTCTTCAAGATTAAACTAATGACACCATCATATGTCCCCCTTGAAACCATACAACTTTTGTCTGAACAATTTTTTTATATTCGGCTTACCAACGGAGTTATTCAGGTGGCCTGTTTTAGATGCCTCACCCTGTATATACAGGGTGGGGAAAAAGTATGGAAGCAAACAATTATTTCCGAAACTATTCATTTTTCGACAAAATGTCTTAGACATAATTTTTATGGTATGAAAAGATGTATTATGTGGCATAGACGGCATGACCTTGAAATGACCCTTACGAGCTGCATACAAATAACGTAAAAAATTTCAAATGGAACTCGTCAGCTTTTGTTACAGATTCTTGTAGCTGATGTCGAAACGTTTACAAAACACTGCATATGAGCCCCATTCCCTTAAAAACACTCCCAGTTACGAAACAATTGTGATACAAACAATTTGTATGCACATTGACATTGCTTACTGATTTCGCATCATGACGTTCAGTTGCGTCCACTAATAACATATAATTGTACCTGTTGTCATATGATACACTGTCTATGAGTATTCATAGAATTTTTTGGAAGATGAATAGTTTCGGAAAGAATTGTTTGCTTCCATACTTTTTCCCCATCCTGTATATATATATATATATATATATATATATACATATGTATGTATATGTGCGTATATGTGCGTATGAACGTAAATATAAAGATAATTTTTGCACATATATGCATACACGCGAACGTTATTATATTTTTTATCATTAAACTAATGTATTAATAGAATAAAAATGCATAAATTCAGGATTATTTTCAATTAATAGAGAAAAATACAAAAGCTTTCATAAACAAACACAATCAATAAAAGATTATAAAACATTAACGTTATTTTATAATAACGTTGAATTTATCCACACGTCGAGACGGTCGACGACATCGTGACGATTTGAATTATTACGAAATTGGCGCGCTAAACGAACGTTTATCAAATGATTCTTATTTACATCTTTTTTGATTATGTAAGCGACGACATTCATCGATGAATCAAGAAAAATGCAAGGCAATGTCATTCGACATCTACATATTGATGCAATTCTGTGTTATCTGTAATTTCGAATAAATCACATAGGCGCACATATATATATATTAATAATATTATAATTAATAATAATTTAGAAAATTAAAAAATAAAATATTTCGAGAAAAAAAAAAGAAAAAAAAACGACAGAACTGAAAAAAAAATCTCAAAAAAACTCTGTACATGATTTAAATGTTTTACATGCTCGATAAATTTGAATAGGAAGAGGAGAGAGGGAAAGCGCAAAAATAAAAGCGCATTTTCGGATTTACCATCGGCAACACAAAGCCCTCGTTGTAATCGGTGTGCTCGCCGATGAGATTAACGCGACCCGGCGCGTACGCGCAGACGGTGGCTTGCTCATTAAATTTTTCGGCGAAAATCTGCAACGCCTTCGCTCTGACACTGTCAACGTCCGGGACCGATGCTGCCATGCTAGAGTTTATATTCTCGATATTTTACACTCTCTTGAAACGACAAGACTCTGTCAGAACTACGACAGAAATGGAGATTAGACGACAAGACGGATGATAACTGCGCCACAGTCGACAGTCGTAAAGATACTGATTGATGTAAATCCCCTTACGAGCGATTAAAGGGGTAAATAATGATGTGGGACGTGTTATCAACTTATTTTGTCTGTATGTACATACATACATATATGAACCGACGTGCGTCAATTTAATTCAACAACATACTCTTGTTTCTCCACCAAAATGAAATTATATGAAATATAAGATATATATATGTATGTGTGCACAGAAAATTATGTCACGAGTATCGTGACACATACACAGACACAGTCTCGATGTAATTATTTTCATTAAAAAAAGGAACTCTCGCGCGAATAAAGGTTATCTTAAATATAATTTTATGTCAAATGTTATATCAAAATGCACATGAAAACTTGTAGTTTTTTTTTTTTATAAATATTGTGAAATTTTTATGTTCGTCCAGCTTTTCCTACAATTCTTTATTAAGGTTACGTTCCAAAACCTTATCTCTGAAGAAAGTTTCACCATAGTATAAGTACATACAGTTGGGGCACTTCTTTGTTCTCTAAAGATCGCAATTTTGAGTGCGCATGCGTCAATTATACAATTTTCAATATGGCTACACATGCTATCTGTACACGTTATGCTGTAATATTAAAATATTAAGTAATAAAGATAAAATTTAAATTTTGTGTCATCACAAGAAAAAATAAAAATGTCTAAAGGTAATTGATATTTAAATGTGTATAATATGCATCTTGTGCTTATGCGATTTATTTAACCTCTTAAATATATGTATTAACATTACTTAAAAAGCTATAATTTCGTTCTAAACAAATTTTAATGCGATTAACAATTGTATTCTGTTTATTCACTTATACAATAACTTTCCATTTTATGAGAGAAAATTCTAATTTACGCGCTAAGTTACAATTTCCAATATGGCGATGGGTCATGTGACTTGGCATAAGCATATCAAAGGTGCCGACACCGAAATGACACTACTGTATGTACATACTTATACTGTGGTTTTACTTCACGAGTATTTCGAAATTTTTTTAAATTAAAATAAAATTTTAAAAAATTTCATCGGAAAGGACATTTTAAAACGTAATCTATGTAAAAAAAGCACAATGAAACTAACGTTTCTTATCACTTTCGCTACACACACAAGCATACATACACACACAGATATTATACAGTGTCCCAAAAGTCCCGGAGTAGTCGAATATTTCATAAACTATGCACTTTAGAAAGAAATGTTTCAAACAAAAGTTGTATGGCTTGAAGGGAGCCATCAGATAGTGGCAATGATTTGATATGGGAGAGTCATTTGAAAGTCACGTGAAGATCACCGTCAATTTCTTAAATGGAACCCCCTATTTTTATTACAAACTAGTGTAGCTTATCTCGAGAGCTTTCCAAAACACTATAATAAAGTATTTCTTCATTGAGTACTTTTCGAGTTATGAGGCTTGAAATCATTTCTTAATTTTGCATAAATCATAAAATATCTAGTAAAATATTCATTTTTCGATTATCTTACCTTAATACTTTTATGTACAAAATAATGAGAGGAATCAATTGGTGTAAAGAAAACACATAGTTGTTTAAAAAAAAAATATGTAATTGTTAATTGCAAATTACATATTTTTTTCTTAAAAACATAGTTGTTTTTAAGAAAAAAATATGTAATTTGCAATTATTTTGTACATAATTAATTGATTATTTTGTACATAAAATTATTAAGGTAAAATAATCGAAGAATATTTTAGAGATATTTTACGGTTTATGTAAAATTAAGAAATCATTTCAAGCCTCATAACTCGAAAAGTACTCAATGAAGAAATACTTTATTATAGTGTTTTGGAAAGCTCTCGAGATAAGCTACACGAATATATAATAAAAAATAGGGAGTTCCATTTAACAAATTGACGGTGATTTTCACGTGACTTTCAAATGACTCTCCCATATCAAATCATTGCCACTATCTGATGGCCCCCTTCAAGCCATACAACTTTTGTTTGAAACATTTCTTTCTAAAGTGCATAGTTTATAAAATATTCGACCGGTCCGGGACTTTTGGGACACTCTGTATGTGTGTGTACGTGTTATTATCCTGATGTTCGATCTTGAGCTTGAGCGAGCGCGATTCAGAATGCGCAATTTTATTATGCATTCACCATTACTGTCGTTTCTGCTATCGCCAGAACAGTGCAGAATGCAGGTGTTAACGCTGATGAAGCCGAATTAATGTACAAGTCGAATTACGACGATAAATCGATTTTCTACGAGGGCATATTATGGACACATTGCAGGTGATTTAACGGCAATAGTCCGTGAAGAATGCGCAATGTCGGTCTCGGATCCCCTTATCAAAGAGTTGAAAGGTAGTGTCACGATTTAGCAGGTTAGGTGTTTCCCGTTATTACAAAGCACTAACCTTGGGAAAATTTACTTGTTTCACATTTTATATGGTTGTATATACAATCTAAAAGAAAGAGAAAAAAATTATCGAGTAGCTTTAATTATTTTTTTATGAATCTTATTTTATACTTTTGAAATATAGATACATGAATTTATATTACATTTTTATTTAAACATATATATGTATGTGTACTGTGTAAAACATTAATGTAAAACACATATATACATATGTTGTATTTTATAAATTAATTAAAAATAAATTAATCTTACAAATTCTTAATGTTTTCCTTTCTATACCAAGTCGATGTTTATTATCATTTGACAATAATATCTATAACTTCATATATTTTTTTCAAAAAATATATAATATACAGCCTTGCTTTCTTCATCAATAATATATTCCATTATCATAATTATCTTGCAAATCTTATTGGTAATTTTTTTACTGTATCTAAAGTAAAAATTGATTGTGACATATTGATCATGACAAATATAACTGTGTAATAAATATTAACATGTAGACTAATTCAATATATTTTATATGTCCTTTCAGGATGGACTCGAAAGCTGATGGAATATGCCAAAGAGATCAATGATGAAAATGACAATTTGTGTCACTTTTGTAAATGCTTCGAAAACTGTTTGCAAAAGGGTTTACTGCCTTGTCTTGATAGCATTGGATACTTAAAAATATCCAATGCATGGCATTGGTTGGAATATGTTGCTGAAAAAAATTATAGGTAATTATAGGAAAATATTCTACTTTGTCCAATGTCCATGATTTATAATTTATGATTATCTACTTTTTATCTAATTTGTATTAATATGATTTTTAGCTCCTATAGTACATTCTCTTTGGTAGTAGAACAAGTAAAGCAAAATTTGAAAGTGCACACATCTATTGGCCGACTTCGTTTCCTGATACGAATATGTCTAGTACGAAAATGCCTTCACATGCCGATAGAAATATTGGTGAGATATCTTCTGTCAAAATACACTCACATATATACATATGCATTCAATATATATATATATATATATATATATATATATATAAATTTTTATAACTAAAATATATATATATATATTTTAGTTATAAAAATTTATTATTTTGTCCATATAGACGAAAATATCAACTTTAGCTACAGAATTTTACAATTTAGAGAGCATCCTAGGAGATGACATTTTACGAGAAATCTTATTGTCTGTGCTATTGCAATGCAGTAAATTTAATTTTAAACTGAATTTAAGAAATGCAGCTTTTTTAGACGACACCTGGCAGATGCCACCATGTGTAGTTTTAGAATTGGTACCTTGCAAAAATTTAGGTATCTCTGTATGGTAAGTGTTTATTTTGGTCAGAAGAAAATCAATGAATCCTAATTATTGTTATTACAGTTTCACCAAGGAAAAGGCATTAATTGTTAATGTTGATGAAAAATCAGTGGCTGCTGAAGATGTAAGAAAATAAAATTTAAATATCTAATAGTTTTTAAAATTACAAACAATTTTAACTGATTTACTCACATGTTGCATGTAAATCAGAATAAGATTGAAATTGGAGATGTATTAGATGAGATAAATGGAAATGTCATCAATGGCGATAGTAAGGGAAAATTACGTAAAATTATGAGGAAAGCTAATGGACAACCAATAATTTTACATATCATCAAGGTACATATAAGGGTACAGCATTAATTAAAAATTAAAATTTTCTATATTGATATGATTACTGTATGTTTTTAGTATCGTACTAAAAAATCCTGTCAACTTTATGAACCAATAGTGCATCTTATCAAAAGCTCAGGTATTGAGAGCATGAAATCTTTAATACAAATATCACAATTGGACCAAACAGAAATCACTAAAAGAAATCAGATCTCTAAATTAAAAAATAAAACATTAAATAGTGGATTTTCTGTGAAATATTGTGGCTCTGTACATGTTGGTATAGAGGGTGATGTTAAACAAATTGAAAAAGCCATTTGGCGTTTATTAAAATCGGGAGAAATAAAGCAAGTGCCTGTGAAATTTGAGTGTTTAGAAATTGGAATTTTAGTAACTCAGGAGATAGATAATCGAGTAAGTTAATTAGAATGAATAAAATTTTTTAAATAATTAGTGCTAATAAAAGTAGTAATTATATTAATCATACACATAAAATTTAAATCAATGAATATATTTAAAAAATACATATATCTTAAAAATATAATGTTAAATTAAAGCAATTTTCATTTTATAGGTGGTATGCAAACAAAGTTACATGGAAATTTCATCATGTGGATGTACTGCCAACATCCCAGATTATTTTGCATTTATCGCAGGGTGAGTTCTATTAAGATAAATTGCATATTGAAAAATTATATGTACATTTTATTCTACATGCTACGTATTTTTTATTCTTAGAGAAACAAATTGTAACATGGCAACAAAATTTGATGCTTATATCTTTTATCATCGGAATGAAACTGAAGTACAACAAATATTGCAGAGTTTGGGGCAAGGGTTTCAACGTACCCACTTTGCAGTATAATGTATATATAAATTTGTTCAACCATGTATATAAAAAGAAAAAAGTATACATGTCTTTGTATCTTAACAAATATTATTTATTAATTTTGAAGTACTACAAAATACACGATACATTTATTTCCTTATTAATAAGTATCAAAATTAACAAAAGAAATTTCTTTCCAATACAGAAAAATGTAATTTAACTTGTAGTATTAAAAAATTTGAAACAATTATTCAAAGTAATGGGATATTTTTTCGTGCTTTAAAAACATTTGATATGGAATTTCTACTTGGTGAACAAATTATAGCGCAACTCTGGCAATTCAGCGTGAGTAAAAATGAACTGCACATGCGCATACTTGGTAAATAACCAATCACGATAGTGACCTTTTGTCTCGCTCACTCTCTCTGTCTCTTTTTCTAACCTATTATACACACATTATACAGGGCGAGACATCTGACATCGGAACATACACTATACTGGATGACTCATTTGAAATATACAATTTCAGATCATTCACCTAGTAGAGTGTGTGTTTCAGGGTGTTTACGACAACTAATCGGATCTCTGATCGGACTGAGCAGTGGTACTCAACGATAGACTTCCTAAATTTCCCTAGATTAATCCGGATCAATGATGTGTCTCTGAAGTAATCGAATTAGATTAACAGCCATCGAAAGAATTAGCGGTCGAGCTGATTGGAAAAATTGTGAAAAACATTATAAGAAAATATAGAAGGTACTTTATTATTCTTTTAATTAATATATCTTTATTTATCAAATATGTATTAATAAACAAATGTATTATACTGGAATAAGATGTTTTTTCTATAAAATAAGAATAACTCTTAACCTCACAACTCTTTTTGCTTTTCATTTTCTACTGTTTAATAAATAATCTGAATTATAGGAAAGTCTAAAAGTATAATGGACCCACAAAATGAAGAGAATGATATTGAACAAACTCAATTTGGTATGTATATATATATATATATATATATATATATATACAGGGTCTACCAAAAGTGTGGAAACCCCTAAATATCTCGGAAAATATACGTTTTACAGAAAAGTGTTTCCAACAAAAGTTGTAGGGTTTAAGAAGATCTATATACTGATTCTATCAGTTTGACCTTGGATGGCGTCGTCAAGGTCAGGTCAAGGTCACATTGACTTTTTTAAATGACACCCCCTACATTTGATTGCATATTCTTATAGCTTAATTCAAGAGCTTTCCAAAACACTATAATAATGTTCATTTTTATTAAGTACTTTGCGAGTTATGAGGGTTGAAATAATTTCTTAATTTTACATAAACCATAAAATATCTAGTAAACCATTCATTTTTCGATTATCTTACCTTCATACTTTTATGTACAAATTAATGAGAGGAATCAATTGGTGTAAAGAAAACACATAGTTGTTTCTAAGAAAAAATATGTAATTTGCAATTAACAATTCCATATTTTTTCTTAAAAACAACTGTATGTTTTCTTTACACCAATTGATTCCTTTCATTATTTTGTACATAAAAGTATGAAGGTAAGATAATCGAAAAATGAATGGTTTACTAGATATTTTATGGTTTATGTAAAATTAAGAAATTATTTCAACCCTCATAACTCGCAAAGTACTTAATAAAAATGAACATTATTATAGTGTTTTGGAAAGCTCTTGAATTAAGCTATAAGAATATGCAATCAAATGTAGGGGGTGTCATTTAAAAAAGTCAATGTGACCTTGACCTGACCTTGACGACGCCATCCAAGGTCAAACTGATAGAATCAGTATATAGATCTTCTTAAACCCTACAACTTTTGTTGGAAACACTTTTCTGTAAAACGTATATTTTCCGAGATATTTAGGGGTTTCCACACTTTTGGTAGACCCTGTATATATTATACAATTATTTTTAAATTATTAATGTATATAATAATTGATGATTTAATAAGGTTGGGACTATGTATATTTTTAATAAATTAATGATATATATTATTTATATTCTTTGCAACATTATATTGCAACATTATATATACATATATAACATTAATACCCAATAAGCAAAATGTAAGCAGTATGTCGACAGACTGGCAACAGATTTGATCAAACCATGTCAGCAGAATGACATCTACTGCGTCCTCATTCTGCTTCTAATCTGCTAGCAGAACCTGCTCACAGAATCGGATATCAGATTGTCGGCAGAAACTGAGCAGGATCTGCTATCAATGCTAACATGACTTGATGTCAGACTGTTAGCAGAAATCGAACAGGATCTGCGCGTGCAATTTGATGGCAAATGGACAGCAGAAATTTCACAAGATTTGCACTTTTATTAATATTATATAAATGCAACAAAATTGATTATTACAGGTGCTAAATAACAATATTATCAGCAAGTTAATTAGAATTTTCTTATAGAAAATACATAAAAATGACATATATGTAATATGTTATATCATAGTTATATTTCATATAGCGAAGGACTAATTTCAATTCTATTTAATTAAATTAATAATAAAGTAAATGTAACTTGTAAAACTTGAGATGTAATTTATTTAGAATTAAATTCTTGCTTTATGCCTCAAATAGCCAGTGCATGAATAATTTTCCATATATTATATTGATTCCAATCAGTTTAATATTCTGAATTCTGATTCTCATTTGCTTGTATCAGATATCAGAAATTAAAGTGAAAAATTAAAATGATAATTACTATATTTTTAGTCTTTTATTCATATTCGTGACTTTATATATATTTCTGACAGAAATTCAATTACGAGAAAGTACAGCTCACGTAGCGGTAAGTGAAAGAACTATCGAATCATGCAAATCCTATTCCATTTCTGCCATCAATCTGCTATCAGAGATTGTATGCGCAGATCCTGTTCGATTTTTGCCGACAATCTGTTGTCAAATTGCATCGCACAGATCCTGTTCAATTTCTGCCACCAATCTGCCACTAAGTTATTGGTGCTTTCCATTTAGCGACATAAGTCGACACAAGCGTCATTCTATCTTTTTTCAATGAATAACAATAAACAAAGATAGAATGACACTTGTGTCGACTTGTGTTGCTAAATGGAAAGCACCCTATGCCGGCAGAATCTGTTCGATTTTTGCTGCCAATCTGGTAACTGATTATGTTAACAAGCTTTGTTATATTTCTGTTGACATTCTGGCGACATCACATGATATATCAGAACCTGCATCGATTCTGTAATCTTTCTGTCGACAACAATTTCTAACAGATTCCCTGACAAGATCTGCTTTAGCAGACTTGGCTATTGGGGTAGACTATTTTAATAATTTTATTCTTTACAGAAAACTACAGATATCAATGGAATAATCAAACTACAAAATTTTTAATAGAAGAAGTTAGAAATAATATAAAATTATTAAACAATAAAAATTATATGCAAAAAAGAATATGGAAAAGTATAGCAAATAAGTTCAATGAAAGAGGATATAACGTAACCGAGGAACAATGTTGTGTCAAGTGGAAGAATTTGAAGCGAAAATATATATGTGTACGAGATCTTAATAATCAAACTGGTGGAGCTACACAAACATGGGAATATTTTAAGATAATTGATGATTTTATCAATATAAAACCTGAAGTAGCAGCTTTATCAATTGCTTCCAGTACACATGGATTTAGAATAAGACAATCAACTCCTACAGAACAAATTGAGGAATCTACAGATGAAAATAATTCTGCAGTAGTCAATACTTCTCCTGATATAGGACGTCCTGTTAGGGAACGCCAACAAAGTGATAAATCTAAATGGATCAAAGCACTTTGCAAACAAATAGAAGCTCATCATGAAGAAAATATGACATAACAATATATAATCGATAAAATAATTATAAAATTATGAACACATACTGTATCATTAAAATAATATTTGTGCAATCATTTCTCTTTTCTCATCAAGTTCCATAACTGCATAATTATTGTTATTTATATTTTCAATTTGTGGAATTTCAAACGGTTCGTCGTCAATATCAATACAAATATTATGTAAAATACAACATGCAAGTACAACTAATGGTATCATTTCTGTGTTATACATATATACATATTTTAGTTTTCGGAATCGTCCTTTTAATATTCCAAACGCTCTTTCAATTATAATGCGAGTTTTTGATAATTTTGTATTATAATTAAGTTGCACATTATTTAAATGACCATTATCACGGTAGGGAGTGAGCATATAATGTAATAATGGGTATGCTGAGTCAGCTAATAAATGACCATGTTGTGGAAAATATCTTTCATCATGATCTATCATATTTTTAATGTCACTTAATCGCCAAACTCGGGCATCATGAACACTGCCACAAATTCCCACAAAAACATCAATAAATTGCATTTTATTATTACAAATACCTTGAAGTAATATGGAATGAAATCCTTTTCTATTTATATAACTAATTGGATATTCAGTAGGAGCACTAATAGGAATGTGGCAGCCATCAATGACGCCTACCACACCTGGAAAACTACTAATGGCAGCAAATTTTTCTTGTATAATTAATATTTCGCGAACTTCTGGCCATTTAATATAATTTTGCACATGTCGCTGTAATGTGTAAGCTACATTAAAAACACATCTCCATATAGTGTCTTTGGAAACTCCAAATCGATCTGCAACGGATCTAAAGAAGAAAATAATTTTTTAAACAAAAAAATTTTAAAATAATATGACAAAATAAATAACATAAAAAAATTGCAAAATTTTTTAACTATAGTAACCTATACACTTCTTGATTGCCAAAAATCCATAAGGCAATAGCTAATTGCTTAGCTGGTGGTAATTGAAGAGAATCATTGAATTATTTTCCAATAATTCAAATTCAAAGAATTGTATCAACAGTTCAAAAGTATTTCTTTGAATACGAAAATGTGATTTGAAATCTAAAATAAAGTAATAATATTATTATAAATGTTGCAAAATTATATATTATTCTGCATAAATGTATGCAGAAAATAAAAATACATAGATAAAATTTAGCTTTATTTTTACCTGTTAAAGAATAATGAAGAACAATATTTTCAAAGAAATTATTAATTTTGAGATGTGGTTCTCTTAGGTGCATTATTTCCCAATCATCTTCATAATCATCTTGATCATTATTAAAAAAAACATTCCATAATAAAAATATATCCATTTTGTATTCTCTGCAAAGATACAGATTATTATTATTATTATTATTATTATTATTATTATTTTACACATCTTTAATTTATGTAGAACTCATATCAAATGTATTTTATACATATAATTAGAAACTATCGTCAGGAGAAAATATTTATTTTTATATTACTATTTTCATGCTAAAAAAAAAAAAGAAAAGTCTAAGCAATATTAACAAATAACAACTTCACATATCACATATTTACATATTACATTACATTTAATTGATAAATTTTCAAAAACTAATAATTACAAGATGTATTGCTATAGCAATAACAATTACATTTTACCATGAATTTCTTATTCATCTTCATGAAGAAAATAATTTTTTTTCTTCTGTAAAGTTGTTATTTGTTAATATTGCTTAGACTTTTCTTTTTTTTTTAGCATGAAAATAGTAATATAAAAATAAATATTGCTTAGACTTTTCTTTTTTTTTTAGCATGAAAATAGTAATATAAAAATAAATATTTTCTCCTGACGATAGTTTCTAATTATATGTATAAAATACATTTGATATGAGTTCTATATAAATTAAAGATGTGTAAAATAATAATAATAATAATAATAATAATAATAATAATAATCTGTATCTTTGCAGAGAATACAAAATGGATATATTTTTATTATGGAATGTTTTTTTTAATAATGATCAAGATGATTATGAAGATGATTGGGAAATAATGCACCTAAGAGAACCACATCTCAAAATTAATAATTTCTTTGAAAATATTGTTCTTCATTATTCTTTAACAGGTAAAAATAAAGCTAAATTTTATCTATGTATTTTTATTTTCTGCATACATTTATGCAGAATAATATATAATTTTGCAACATTTATAATAATATTATTACTTTATTTTAGATTTCAAATCACATTTTCGTATTCAAAGAAATACTTTTGAACTGTTGATACAATTCTTTGAATTTGAATTATTGGAAAATAATTCAATGATTCTCTTCAATTACCACCAGCTAAGCAATTAGCTATTGCCTTATGGATTTTTGGCAATCAAGAAGTGTATAGGTTACTATAGTTAAAAAATTTTGCAATTTTTTTATGTTATTTATTTTGTTATATTATTTTAAAATTTTTTTGTTTAAAAAATTATTTTCTTCTTTAGATCCGTTGCAGATCGATTTGGAGTTTCCAAAGACACTATATGGAGATGTGTTTTTAATGTAGCTTACACATTACAGCGACATGTGCAAAATTATATTAAATGGCCAGAAGTTCGCGAAATATTAATTATACAAGAAAAATTTGCTGCCATTAGTAGTTTTCCAGGTGTGGTAGGCGTCATTGATGGCTGCCACATTCCTATTAGTGCTCCTACTGAATATCCAATTAGTTATATAAATAGAAAAGGATTTCATTCCATATTACTTCAAGGTATTTGTAATAATAAAATGCAATTTATTGATGTTTTTGTGGGAATTTGTGGCAGTGTTCATGATGCCCGAGTTTGGCGATTAAGTGACATTAAAAATATGATAGATCATGATGAAAGATATTTTCCACAACATGGTCATTTATTAGCTGACTCAGCATACCCATTATTACATTATATGCTCACTCCCTACCGTGATAATGATCATTTAAATAATGTGCAACTTAATTATAATACAAAATTATCAAAAACTCGCATTATAATTGAAAGAGCGTTTGGAATATTAAAAGGACGATTCCGAAAACTAAAATATGTATATATGTATAACACAGAAATGATACCATTAGTTGTACTTGCATGTTGTATTTTACATAATATTTGTATTGATATTGACGACGAACCGTTTGAAATTCCACAAATTGAAAATATAAATAACAATAATTATGCAGTTATGGAACTTGATGAGAAAAGAGAAATGATTGCACAAATATTATTTTAATGATACAGTATGTGTTCATAATTTTATAATTATTTTATCGATTATATATTGTTATGTCATATTTTCTTCATGATGAGCTTCTATTTGTTTGCAAAGTGCTTTGATCCATTTAGATTTATCACTTTGTTGGCGTTTCCTAATAGGACGTCCTATATCAGGAGAAGTATTGACTACTGCAGAATTATTTTCATCTGTAGATTCCTCAATTTGTTCTATAGGAGTTGATTGTCTTATTCTAAATCCATGTGTACTGGAAGCAATTGATAAAGCTGCTACTTCAGGTTTTATATTGATAAAATCATCAATTATCTTAAAATATTCCCATGTTTGTGTAGCTCCACCAGTTTGATTATTAAGATCTCGTACACATATATATTTTCGCTTCAAATTCTTCCACTTGACACAACATTGTTCCTCGGTTACGTTATATCCTCTTTCATTGAACTTATTTGCTATACTTTTCCATATTCTTTTTTGCATATAATTTTTATTGTTTAATAATTTTATATTATTTCTAACTTCTTCTATTAAAAATTTTGTAGTTTGATTATTCCATTGATATCTGTAGTTTTCTGTAAAGAATAAAATTATTAAAATAGTCTATTAATGTTATATATGTATATATAATGTTGCAATATAATGTTGCAAAGAATATAAATAATATATATCATTAATTTATTAAAAATATACATAGTCCCAACCTTATTAAATCATCAATTATTATATACATTAATAATTTAAAAATAATTGTATAATATATATATATATATATATATATATATATATATATACATACCAAATTGAGTTTGTTCAATATCATTCTCTTCATTTTGTGGGTCCATTATACTTTTAGACTTTCCTATAATTCAGATTATTTATTAAACAGTAGAAAATGAAAAGCAAAAAGAGTTGTGAGGTTAAGAGTTATTCTTATTTTATAGAAAAAACATCTTATTCCAGTATAATACATTTGTTTATTAATACATATTTGATAAATAAAGATATATTAATTAAAAGAATAATAAAGTACCTTCTATATTTTCTTATAATGTTTTTCACAATTTTTCCAATCAGCTCGACCGCTAATTCTTTCGATGGCTGTTAATCTAATTCGATTACTTCAGAGACACATCATTGATCCGGATTAATCTAGGGAAATTTAGGAAGTCTATCGTTGAGTACCACTGCTCAGTCCGATCAGAGATCCGATTAGTTGTCGTAAACACCCTCGATGTCAGATGTCTCGCCCTGTATAGTTTGTTTATAATAAGTTAGAAAGAGAAGGCAAGCAAGACAGAAGCTCACTGTCGTGATTGGTTACCTAACAAGTCCGCGCATGTGCAGTTCATTTTTACCCACGCTAATATCGGGAGGGTCCCGTTTGCCCACGAATCCGATTGTCCACTGCCAATCATATCGACCTGTGCCTAGGGTAACTAGCAACGATTAACTAATCAGAGAGGCCTATTTTGAATTGGCCAATTGGGACTATCAGATCCTGTCCCCTCTTATGTAGTATCTCTCTCTCTCTATAGCTGGCGCTCACCTGTCTATCGCAATGCTCAGTCCATTCTATAAGGGTACTGTTACATGGCAGTCGGAATTTCGGAAAATGGAATCTCGGAAAAGTACTAGAGTAGTGATCAACCAATCATAATTATCTAGTAAAGTTTGAATGTCGGTTCATCTGGATCAGAATTTTCCATTTCTTTAATAAGATTATTGTTTGCACCTTGTAACATTCTTTGTTTTACGGTAAATATAGGACGAACCTAAATTCTTCTCTAAATATTTTGTTCTTTTTTCCTCTTTATTCTTCTATGTAATAAATATAATTTCAACAATTTTTGTCGCATTTTTTCAGCTATTAATAATTGTGGACTTTGTCGTCGCTTAATAATTTCTTTTACCAAAAGTATCTTTATTTTTTTCGATTTCATGATGTAACTACAAAATAAATTAGTAAATGTAGAAAAGGTATAATCGCTAGTCAAATAATCAAAGGATTATTGAAAAAATTATATTCGACCAAACTAGTCAGAAATTTCCTTTATTTAATACGACGTTTCGACCATATGGTTGTGGTCCTTATCAAGTATATACTGGAAGGATTTAAAATACATTAAATTAACGGTTTGAATACGTAAAAAGCACAAACAAATTAAAGAGTAAAACAAATTTACCGATGAAATATAATAATCAGGAGGCAGACATAACGCTTGTAAAAACCATCACGAGTCACAAATAAAAAACGTTATATAATTAAATTCAAAAAACGAGAGAGACTGATGCGTCCATGTGAGACTTCGTCGAAAAACTAAACGGGTTTAGTTTTTCGACGAAGTCTCACATGGACGCATCAGTCTCTCTCGTTTTTTGAATTTAATTATATAACATTTTTTATTTGTGACTCGTGATGGTTTTTACAAGCGTTATGTCTGCCTCCTGATTATTATATTTCATCGGTAAATTTGTTTTACTCTTTAATTTGTTTGTGCTTTTTACGTATTCAAACCGTTAATTTAATGTATTTTAAATCCTTCCAGTATATACTTGATAAGGACCACAACCATATGGTCGAAACGTCGTATTAAATAAAGGAAATTTCTGGCTAGTTTGGTCGAATATAATTTTTTAAAAATAAATTAGTATAAAAATTAAATATTAATAAGTTTATTACAATTTGTCAAATAATATCTTTAATCAACTAGTTAATATATATCACTTAAAATAAAATAAAATTATTAAAAAGATTTAATTAAAAAAATGAACCATTTCATCATAATTTTAAATTTTACTTAAAATTATTAACGTAATATTTAACATTAATTATTTATACTTGCTACGATCATTTTTTTTCCAATATAATTTTTCGATAGTCTCGCTCTCTATGGAGTAATTTTTACGGAAAACGGAATGCTATTCTAACCTCCCTAAATTGTTTTTCAATTTAGAAAATTTTTTTTTATTTTCTATTATAATAAACAATACATACAAATCCCAAGTAGCAAGCACACGTCATTTTGACGTTTCAAATTGGTCATTCACTATTCTTGACGTCACGAATTGACGTTTTTATGACATAAAAGTGACGGTCTAATGTCACAGATTCTTGACGTCATGACACGAACCGCATTTTGACGTCATAAAATGTACCATATTTTGATGTCTTTTTCTTAGCATAATAATATATTTAATAGTGTTGTCGAATAAAGCATTGTCTAAAAGTGAATCAGTGCATTATCACTAAAAAATAATAAATGATTAGTCACTGATTACAGCAGTTATAAGTACAGCACTCTAAATCAGTGATATTTTATTAAAAGAATTTTAAAAGAATCAGTTAATAATTTTGACTATTTCAATCAGTAATATCTCAGTAATATTTCTTTCGTTATTGCCACTAATATTAAAATACAATTCATCTCCCTATCTATTTCATAAATATAATATAAATATAATAAATATAAAAATAAATAAATATATATAAATATAAATAAATATATAAAATATATATAAATATATATATGAAATTACAAAATTTATTTATATTTACTAAATATTTATTATATTAAAAATTTTATTTTATTTATATTACATGTATATTGAACTTGTTATTTTAAATAAATAACGAATGAATAATTTTCATTAAGTAGCCAGATATTTATTTGTTCGACTTATAAAATCGATTTAATATCTGAAGCCTCTCTATTGAGAGTGTATAAGAAATTAAATCGAAGTAATATTTCTAATTTTATCTGTCATTCTTTGCAAACTTTATATAATGCTCATAACTAAAACTAAATACGAGAGAGATAGTGCTCATAGCGGTAAACGAAACTAGCGATTATTGGTTTTGCAGTGAATTTTACTTTAACAATTGTTAAAGTCTGATCGCGAAAGTCATGATGAAAGTCTAAATATTTATTATAAACATCCACTTTAGTCTACACGACAATCAAGATGTCTTCCAGGGCGAATACAATGTCAGCATTTATATTCCTGATGACACGCAACATACATATTTTTATACAGAAAATCTGTATATAATTACAACTACAGTAACAAACAATACACAAATATCTAAAGAAAATAAAGAGAAAGATTTTCCCTTTAGGCCTAAGAAATTTAACTATGACACTGAAACGTATATAACCACCATTTCCTTTCCGTATATTTTATCATCAGGAAAATACACTCTGTATATGAAATTTTTCGGTCTTTTTGATGAAAATGGCGGCTTTAGAACTTTTTACATGAATCAACAAAATAATAGAGTGTGAGTAATTTTTAAAAACTCAAGTGTTATAAATACGATTCTTGCGGTAATTATGCATAAAATGGGCCCACCTTCGAACAAATGTGTTATTGACGTATGTTGTAAAGATGTTATCCCTCATTAACATTCTGAAGGTTTAAGTCGGCGGTCGTTCTTTATTTAAAAGTTATTAACAAATAAATGTGAGAAATATTGATATAAAGATACTACTTTATTTATTCACCAATTTGCTTTTTAAATATGTATAGGGATGTGTATGTGTGTGTGTGTGTGTGTGTGTGTGTGTGTGTGTGTGTGTGTGTGTGTGTGTGTGTGTGTGTGTGTGTGTGTGTGTGTGTGTGTGTGTGTGTGTGTGTGTGTGTGTGTGTGTGTGTGTGTGTGTGCACATACATTTATGATATTTTTTAATTGTATTAAATTGTATTAAATTCTATATAAATTTAAATTGTTTATCTTTCTTTTATTTACCTTTAATTTTCCTTTTTTTGTGTTTTTCTTCGACTTGCGAGTTTGACCGCTATTTTTAAGTTTCATATTGGTGTCCAGGAGGTAAAAATACGTAGGAATTGGATATTCTTACCTATTATTTTATATAGATGGATTTTCCGAAGGTCTACCTTACTTTTATATTTATTATTTTTATTTTTTTTAGCCTATATTTCCAAATCTATTTAAGTTCGACCCTTATATATGTATATATATATATATATATATATATATATATATATATACGAAATTACTCGGGAAGATCTACCCTATGACATATTCAAAAATAAAGCAAATCGGAGAGGAGGCCCTTTTTATGTATAATATAAATAAATGCAAATACTTTAATAATTGTTGAATAAAGAACGACAGCCAGCTAAAATCTTTATAATATTAATTAGAGATGTGAGCTTGACAACGTATATCAATGATACATTTGTGCAAGGATAGGCCTTTTTTATACATAATTACCTACAAAAAAAAATTGCATTGCAAGTATATATAATATAATATTTCTGTTATTAAAAACTTTTTACAAGATAGATATTGATTATATATAAAATCTAAATTATTAAAAATGTTATATGTTACATTATCATCTTCATAAACTTATTGTTTTGTAAGTGCATCTTTTAGAAAATATTGTGAATATATTATTTTACATACATTTATTATAAATATTACAAAAACTTTTTAACGTACGTGTATATTAATAATTAAATATTTTATATTTATTATATATTTATTATATATATATATATATATATATATATATATATATATATATACAGGGTGGGGCATTTATCTTGAGACAAGATAATATCTCGATTGGAGTCGATTATTTTGAAAAAAGTTTTAGACAAAAGTTGTATGGTTTCAAGGGGGACATAAGATGGTGTCATTAGTTTGATCTTGAAGAGCCACCTGAAGGACACGCGAAGGTCAGCTCCAACTTTTTAAATGGGATACCCTATATGCTTTTGCATATTCTTGTAGCTCATCTCAAGAGCTTTCCAAAACACTATAATTAAGTTAGTTTTCATTAAGTACTTTCCAAGTTATGAGGCTTGAATTCATTTTTTAATTTTACATAAACCGTAAAATATCTTGCAAAATATTCATTTTTCGATTATTTTATCTTAATACTTTTATGTACAAAATAATGAGAAGAATCAATTGGTGTAAAGAAAACTCATAGTTGTTTCGAAAAAAAATATGTAATTTGCAATTAACAATTACATATTTTTTCTTAAAAATAACTATGTCTTTTCTTTATACCAATTGATTCCTCTCATTATTTTGTACATAAAAGTATTAAGGTAAAATAATCGAAAAATGAATATTTTACAAGATATTTTACGGTTTATGTAAAATTAAAAAATGAATTCAAGTCTCATAACTTGGAAAGTACTTAATGAAAACTAACTTAATTATAGTGTTTTGGAAAGCTCTTGAGATGA